CTTATCTTAAAGGCAGTACAATGGATTTACATATTAAATGGCTTAAGCAAGAATATATGAAAACTCAGAGGAACTGGAAAGAAGTGGATAACAAAATGAATGTGACAATAGAAATACGGAGAAAGATGATCAGCAGTAAGGCACCTTTAAAAGATATTCTTAGGCTATTTCCTTTCTTAAGATGCCCTTATCAGGTAACAAAGCTATTTTTATTAATGACATTGAATTCTGTGTTATAGATGTGACAGAACTGTAGGCATGTTATTTTACTGGATGCTTCCAGTGAAGTATCCATTGGCATTGTTCTCTTTAACTCAAATTTTTGCAGCCAATCCCTCTTTGAAAGGTTCACCAGCTCTGTGTTAAATGTGCCACACACACTACCAGTGGGTTATTTGAAGTATTTTGGTGTTACTTGATGTATTTCTTCCCTGCTTTGAAAAGAAATGAAAACCATCCTCTCTAGTTTATAATCTTTTTTAAATGAGCTGGTTTTATCCTGTCTTCAAAGTGCATGCATTGTTTACAGTTTTGGTTTTGAGTTTTGAAATACCACATATTTGTTTTTCTTTTAGCTTTTTAGGGAGTTCCAGCTTCTCACACACATGGACATTTATAAGAAAACAGTTGGGATTTTGGAGATTTATTCAGAAAATATATTATCTTTGTATGTCGTGAGGAATAATCCAATTAACATTATGCTACAAGAAAATCTGAAGCAGCACACAGAGGAAGATGTTCTGAAATGTCAGTACTAATCTCCTATGCTCTGAATACCAGAGTTTTGTTGTAGCTAATTGTTCTCATTTATGTACCTAAACTAGTTTCAATTTTACTGCAAAAATATTTAAAAAATGTTACAGTTTCTTTAAAAATATATAGTGATGGAGAAGCATTAAGAATAAAAACTAGTAAATTAGTAGAAAAATTAAGTCAGTCAAGTATTGAAACTTTTTTTTCTGTTGAATAAAAGACTGTAGGCTTGATAAAGTTAGTAACTCCCTTAAAGTAAGTATTGCTAGATGAGCAGATACGTATTTCTAGATACATAAGAGTGCTTATTATTTTCTAAAAATACCCACAGAAAACTTATTTTCTGCTCTAGAAACAGTCCCATAGAAAAAGACACAATTTCCTTTAGAAAGCAAGGTACTGTTTCTATGGTTAAAACCTTTATCCTAGTGAAATTAAAGTAGTAGTTCTCACTAACAATTTCACGTACCTCATCTCTGCAGAGACACATTGCAGGAAAAAAGGGCACAGACTGGTACCTCTGGTGAGCAGGTACCAGAATCATCCATGGAGGTTTATGTACCTCAAAGTGTTTGGCTCCCTGGCTGCAGGGGAGCAAGTACCTGCTGTCACTCAACTTCTTTCAGTCTGCGAAGTCTGGAAGTTGCAAAGACAAAACCTTTGAAGCAGTTACTTAGAATGGTTATTTTTCCCCAGCTGTTGCTGCCTATGCCCAAGCTTAGCTCTTTTAAGAAGTGCTCCTTAGACTCATTTTCTATCAAACAGGCCTAATGCCACGATGTCAAATCAAAGGTCATACGATACGACATATATTTCCTATAGCGGTTTCACTCCATTTATTGCCAGGTCATTTCTTAAAGAAGCAAGCAGCATTGGTTGAAACACTGGGAGTTTCTTTCGTTAAGCTTAAAAACACAAGTACTCGATAGCTCATGATAGATTAAAAAGTATCAAGATACAGACTAATCCAGAAAGCCTTCATGGACTTTTTACTCATAGCTTTGGCCTTAGAAAACTATGGATATTGTAAGTAATTTCCCCTTTTCTTATACAATATGTCCACAGAGATCTTAACTCATACCTTATTAAAGTCCCAAGGCCTTCACTTTTCTGTTTTACTCTCACAACCAACTTGACATGGCACCTAGATAATAAATGCTGGACGAAGTCAGTTCAGTGAAACACACAACACTAGAAGCTTGAGCTGCAAAAAAGATGTTATAGTCAATAATAGCTGAACCAGAGGGGTAGCAGGTACCAGGTCTCGGGAGGTTCTGCAGCACCAGCTTGTACAGCACAAGCTTGTACTTGTACTTTGGCAACAGGACTCCCCAGAGACATCCAGTTTACTGGGGAAAGGGGCGTCTGGGGACGCGTGGTGGGGACAGGAGGACTACTCAGCTCACAAACTCCACTAAAAGCAAACCAAAGGTCAACTTATTGTGAGAGAAACTGAATTGTAATACTGAGTAGCAGAATTCCATGAATTATTTGAACGCTAATGTCCATTACCAGCTGAGGCACCCAAATATTCACTGTGGTACAAACTACTCTTCCAAATGGACTGAACAACAGCTCCACTGCTCAGCTGTTAACTATTACATAGGCTGCGTTCTGTTTTTCCAGGATGATACTGCAGTGCCAGAATGTTTTCATTTGTAATTTAGTAGAAATCCTTGCCTTTTGACAGATATGAAAATGACTGCTGCATGTTTACTCCTGCCAGATGTCTTTGGAGATGATTCCAGTCTGTTTGTTGCAGTAAACGAGGAGGTAGGAGACAGAGTACCAGCAGCCTTGGTCTCTTTTCCTTCTATCAGCTCCCTGGGCACATCACCTGGTCTTTTGGTGGCTCAGCTTAGTTCCCGGAAAAAGGTGACATTAGCCTGTTTTCTGAGTAGAAGGCAAATACTCATAGAAATACCAGCTAAATTCAAAGCAGTGTTATCAGGCTTACTTAATTCTCTGAACTGTTCATTTTAGCAATGCTGTGGCATCACTTGAAATGCCCTTCTTTTACTTTAGGTAAAGGCAGTGACACCAGTGTTGGAAGTAAAGAATCCCTTCAATGTGAATTCATGCGAGTTTGCACTGTATGTGGAAAGGGAAGAGCTGGCCCAGCTCGATGACTGCACTATGGCCCTGGCAGCACTGGTAGCTGCATTTCATGTATTCGACATCCCGTGCCCAAAGAGGATCCACAGAACACTAAAATTCCTGGAGTCCCTGGTCTTTGAGGTGAGGAACCCAGCATCCCTGCCCATCCAGATAAAGACAGGGCTGGAGGCACCCAAGTATCCAATATCTGATGGTGCACACAGCACTCCTCTTGGGAGCATTTGATATTTTGTCAAAATAAATCCCTCTGTTGTGAAGATAAATCAGTGCCATTATTTCTAGTGGAAGTGTATGTATATTTAAATATGTTAACAATGCCCTTTTTTTTATTGTACTGGTTACTTTAAAAAAAAAACACTTCAGCAGTTTCATTTAAAATGCAGATTTTAGAGAAGTCTAGAGATAATAAAATTTTCTAGATCACTTGATGTGTCATGTATTATTTTTCTATATGGAGCATTTGACAAATTCAGATAATATTCTGACTGTCAGAATTAAAAAAAAAACATATTGTGAGCCTATGTGAGCACATCAGTACTTCAGATGCTAATACAGTTAATGTTTTGAAGAGGCACAAATTAAAGATTACCATCACTTGATAATACTATGATCACTGAGAGCCTAATTTAATAATTTTTGTGGTTTAAAATGGTTGGCCTGACTTTTAATTTGCAGAATGATGAATTTTCACTACTTTCTCCTTGCATGAAACATTATTTTCTTTTGTTTTAACGTTAATCCTGAATTTGCTAAATAGGGTTTCTAAGATGAGCTCTGAAAGTAGCAAGACTGACTTATCCACGATGCTGCCATGTGCATTTGTAACCACAGCTTTGGTGCTTGAGAAAGAATGCCTCATTTTCTTTCTGAATTTGTTCCCCAGAACGCATTAGCCTTCTCCACATGATGACTCTCTCTCTGCCCACACAGAGCAGAGGCCCTCTCCTCTCTTTTTTCACAGCCTCCTCTTTTCCCTAACACGCTCCTCTTAACTTGTGCATGTCTGGAAATCCCAGGGGATACTGCCTGGCAGTGCACAGCTTTGGACAAGTGCCTGGCAATAAACAGTAGCAGCAGCCAGCAGACATAACCCATTGCGTTCATTAGAAATAAAAAATGGCTTTTTATTACAAGCCTACGTTCTATAAGAGACCAATCTGCAACCAGTTCTAAAAATGTCAGTGTAGGCAAAGCACAGCCTGGAAGACTACAGAAGCTTTGTTAAAGCTTGGTTGTGCAGGGGTGACTTCAAGGTAGAGAATACAGTGGGAGATCCTCCTGTATGAGAGGAGATGGCTCCATTTAATGGCCAAACTCTCTTGCTAAAGTCTCAAGACTTTTCACATGGCTCTCATGGAAATGAGCGGACAACCTCGAGCAGTGTGATGGCTGGGGTACCTCCAATCCAACACACAAAACAAACCAACTGCCATTTTAAAGATTCAGTAGGTCTCCTGAATGGTTTTAGTTTCTAAGTGAATTTGTTAGGCGCAGTTTTTGTAACAGAGGTGGCTACACCCAGCTACCTCATCACATAGGATAAAAAAATAAGGATTATATATGCCCTCACTATTGTATGTGATAGCAGTATGAATAAAAAATTGGGCTCTTTAACACTTAAGTGAGCTTTAGTCTACATCTTATAAACACTGTTAAGTCAAACCCATTTCTTAAACCACAATACTTTGTAAGTAGGTGCATATAAAAATTCAGGGAGCTGCAAACATCCCCGAGTAATCTCTGTTGAGCTGCAAGTCTCCTCATTGGTTATCACTGCAGGTTATAGACCTGGCACACAAGAGAGACATAGAAGGTAAAGGAAAATAAACTACATGGAAGTACAGAATGAAAGAAAATGAAAGAATTTGACATTTTAGTGGTCTGCTAGTGCAACTTCAGCTGCTGCCGGTGACAAAGTCCAGGTCTATAAATGGCATTCTGACTATGATGGCAAGGGGCCTGTAAGCCTTAGGAGTAAGTGCCAAGGGAGAGGGCAAACAGGAGTAGCCAAGCTGCTCTTTAAAACTCATGGCCACATTAAGCTACAGTGAGGAATTACTCCACAGTACCATCAGGAACAGCTGGGGTTCATGTGGGAATCCTGGGCACACACAAAGGTAACAGACAGCTCCAGTTCAGGTTTTATTGGTATTGTAGTACAATAAGAGTGCAATTTGAATGTACAAATATTCAACAAAATGTAAAAATATTATTTATGCAATGCTATGGAAGGAAATTAACAGAGCAACGCAACTTACTTCATACTGACCCTGTTTCACCTTGTATTATGGCAGGTACCAGTCACCTACACCATCTGGAAGGGGCACAGAGTTCTTGAAAACTTAAGAACTCCAGCCAAAGAACAGCCTAGCAAAATCTGTGGGAAGATGTAAAATTCTCCCAGCTCTGTGCAACGGAAATACTCTGTTTGTTCTCAGCTCTAAAGGCTGAGCAACTGCCCGCTGCAGCTCTAAAAAGAGGGCTGCCAAAAAGCTTGATCCAACTCTTCTCTCTTTTCTTTCAAAAGTAACATTCTGGAACAGTCCTTGGTATACAGGTAGCTAGGCTTTCTCCCATATAAAGTGCATCTGGTTTACATCTTATGTATATATACCAAGTGCAACGACTGTCCCTGACTTTCCCTGACAAATCGTTATAATAATCCTCCAAGAAAGGAGGTTGACTCACCCAAGTACCTGCTGGTAACATCTGCAGCCTGCTGATGACCCAGTGAAATGCATGCATTTTACACCTAGGATGTGCCCCTCGACTAAAGGCATTTAAGCATCCTTTTCCTTGAGCTTTGTCTTTCCCCTTATGTTTTATTCATTTACAAATCAGACTTTTCAGCTAGGAAGTGGTGAGTGAAGTAATTCTCCCACCACTGGGAAAACAAACCTATGTTGAATATGAAGTCAGAGTAGCATGGTTTTTCTCCACTGTTCTGGTAACTGTACTGGAGACTGAGAAGTGCAGACATGATTAAATGTAATTTCTGTTTTGCTAATCTCCTTGTCTCAAAATCCACCTATTTTCGTTCATGTGCTGAAGGTCTGTAGCAGGCTCCCGCGTAAAAGGCTGGGACTCTACTGCGCAGCATAAACAAAAAGTCTTCTGTGAAGTCAAACTTTATTTTTCAGTTGCAGCCTTCTCTACACTGGTCTTTTGATAAAATACATTAAAGATGCTGGTGGCAAAACTCACGTAACATTTCTGTAATCGTGCAAAAGTAAAAACATTCAGTTATTAAAAAAGCATTGTAATTTCAACCCCAACAAGGTTTGTTTTGTTACAAGCAAAAAGACAGTTTTATAATCTGTAAAGTTATATGCTGTAGCATAAAGTGTCACATATGTAACATTAAGTGTTTCATTTTTAAACTATGGCACAAATACATATTAGCCGTAACAGTCTCATCTGGCTACCTGTAGCCTAATTTTTGGCTAATCAGTTTTTCGTTTGATAGAATGAAGTAAAAGCTTCTGAAAAGTAAAATGGATACATGAAGTAGTATTCAAGAATCCTTAGAAAATATTAACGTTCCCTTATATAATACAGCATAAATAATTTTTCTTGAATTTTCTTGATGTCCAGAGAAAGTTAGGGATCCTAACCATCCATGAGAATTAGCGCCATTGGTTTGGTAAATAAGGCCAGCTGACTCAGTTGTTACACAGTACCTTCTCAAAAGCTTGAACACTTCCCAGAAGGATTCAGATATGTACTGGCTCTAGGAGAATATAAATAGTCCACCAGTGCTGAACTTATGTTTCTTCCTTTCTGAGAGTCCTTAGTCAACAGTTCTAGTGAGTCTTTGTGCTTTGAATAAAACATGAGCTCCAGTGGAGAAAGCTGGCTCGTGCACATTTTCCATTATCTTCAAAGTTCATTGTGTGAGTTTTTCTCTGCAGCTTTGAACATCAGAATGGAATTAAAGATTTTTAGGGCTGGTCCCAGTTTAATGCTCATTATTTTCACTATGTCTGATTGGGTCATTAGCAGAAATGCTTCTCCATCAATTTGCTTTAAAAGAAAAACACAAAGCTATTAGTAGGTCTGACAGTGCAGCAGTATAGACGGTTTCAGAAAACATGAAAAGTCCCAGCAATTTCAGACAATGTAAAGGACTGTCTGAATACAAACATTTTCAAATGCTTTGAAGGGAGCTTTGACTTCAACCTTTTAGGCAGATCAGCTAGTCCAAAAGAACAGGATGATCTTCCTTCTGCTTGAAAACAACTGTCTGGCTAATTTTTAGCTAAACAATTCTCATTTTCATACTGACAGTTTAAAAGCTATTGGAAAGTAAAATGGGTAAATGAAGTATAATTCAACTGTACCAAAGCACAGCACTGCTCTTTAACCTCTTAGCTATTCCTTTTATGCAAGCCTCCACAGACAAAGCTGCTGGATTTCACTCCCAGCTACAGAGCTGGAACCCCCTTAAGGCCAGCACTTTCTTTTCATTAAACAGTAAGTTAAAATGAATTTTGATCCCACATGAAAACAGGGACCAGGCTACATAAAACTGCCTCTTTGACACGAACACAATAGAACTTTTAAAAACGTGGAGTATTTTTTTCTGCCAGCTTGGTAGTGTTGCTATTTTAGTAAACAATAAAAGTGAACATTCTCCTGTAAGCAAATCATTCTGTCAGCAGGAGTCCTAAATCTGAGCATGAAGAGACCCAAGGTTCTCCCTTCCAAGGGCTTCAATGGGGCCAACATTTTCTGTGTATACTTCAGGTCACTTAGGTACCTAGAGGTAAGTTTTCAGTGGAACCTAAGCTAGATAGCTATACATAAAAGGCAACTGTGGTTAAACCAGGAGTACTGATTAGGCTTAAGAATACTAACCTGAGATAAAAACAGTGTAAGTTTCTGTAGGACTAGAAAACAAACTTTCTGAATCAGACACACTGCAAAGGAAACCTGCAAGGTATACCCCAGCACTGCAAGTTGAGGAACACTGCGGTCAGAACAGCATCACGTGTCACTACAATTACTTTCTACTCATTTTGTACACAAAGCCAGACTTGGTGGGCTCAGAACCTGAAGTGTGTGAAGCTGGGTGTGCCCAGATAAAAAGCTGCAGCACCTTAAAATAAGCAGGATGAGGGTTCATTTCCATAGCAGAAGTTTGAGCCAGCATCTTCTTCCTACTGAAAGACCTACTGATGTCAGCCAGTCCATGCCAGTTACTAGACACAGAGGAAGCCTGAGGCTGAATTCTGAAGAGGGGAAGTATTTTCTTACATCTCTGAGAACAGAAGTGTTAAGGATTCATCCACCTCCATGGCACTTGCCACTTGCAGACTTGATTAGCAATATGCCAGCTTTTATTCTTAAACTCATTGATGAGACACCCTAAGTGACACAGGCGATGATCTAGCCCTGCATACCTGCTGCAACCATAAAACGCCCAACATTTGAGCAAGTGCAAAATGCCCAGAGATTCAGCCTGTTCGTCCTTTGATATGCAGCCGTATTAGCCATTACAATCTACAGCACAGCCTGAAAACTTGTTGCAGGAGATTGGCAGGGCCATCTGTGTGCATTTTTCTCAGGAGGTGCCTTCTCAAGTCTAAATACCACAATTATTCTTCACTTGAAAGGCTGGCTGACTCAGCCTATTCACGTTGTCTGGCTGGGATAAGCACCTCAACTATTCACTCTGGCATCTGTGATCAAACTACCTTCTTCAAACTAAGCATTAACAGGAATAACAAACTTCTGAGCAGAAAAGAAAAAGCCAACCTAGTTTAAAACGGCCTATTGTACCTAAAAGCCATATCCATTTCTAATGACAACTTTGGAACAACAATCTTCTCAGATACTAGAAATGCAAACCTGGCATGCTCAGAAAGTGAATAATGCCCCTTTGAACTTCATCAGAACCTTCAGATCTTCTCAATTCCTGCTCACTCAAATCATATTCATAAATTGACTATATGAGGAGGAAGAGATCAGGAGCCAAGTGTGATCAGACAAGATGTAAGGAGTTACGATGAACCACTGTTCTGCTTTATTTTACTTATTAACATCCTGCAGAACTAAAATTACATACCTGCTTATTAATTTCCTCAGACCAGATTAAGAGACAACAGTAGTCAATCAGAAAGTTCCTAAGTAATTTCAATTGGCAGGAAAAAAGCTAGAAAAGCACAAGAGACCTCACTGACACTTTTCTTTCCTCCCACTTCATGAGCTGCAAACCAACCTAATCTTCCATACGTTTGCATCTGACTTTAAACAATGTGGTATTGGAATTGTTTGCCCAGGAAGGTGGTGGAGTCACCATCCCTGGCGGTATTTAAGGAGGTATCTGAATTTACAGGGTTACGGTGATAATGTTGGGTTCAGGGTTGGACCTGATGATTTATAGGTCTCTTCCAACCGTGACAATTCTGTGATTCTATGCACTTCATCCTACTTCTTTATATGCATTTTTAGTTATGACATAAAATTAGTATTTCCACCGAGCTTTGTACTCTGTGTCTTTTTGAAATAAAATTCACCCACCTCATCTTTAAACACCTTGCCATGTTCTTCACATCCTGGTAAACTCCGTATAAACTCAGAGACCTATCACCAAAGTATACAACAGAAGATTTGTTAAGACCTGTGTTTTCTCAAAACGGTCTTTATGATTGACAATCATTAAAGTCTTTTAGCTATTGTTTTTATAGCCTCATATTTGATGTTCCACCTTCTTCGGTAAGTGCATGGAGTCATGCAGATGGGTGTCTAAGGACAGGATTCACAAAATCAGCAAACTAAAGGAATACATCCCACTCTAGTCCACAGGACTTTTTTCAAAGTCCATGCTTCTTTTTTTCTCTGATTAGAGGAGATCTGACTGCCTCAGGCACAGAAAACTGCCTTAAGTCATATGTGCTTCTGAAAGTAAAGCAGTGACAAGACTGCCAGTGCAAGCATTATTGCATACTTGAACAGAGGCAGGGCTCTAATCTTAAAATCAGGTGTTATGGCCTGACCATACCCATACCATTTCTCTCTGGACTATATTCTCACCCTCCAAAGCAGTGTGCCACATCCAAACTATGAACCAGGAAGAGCTCTTGGTTCATGTTGACCCCTAAACCATTCCTCAGAACATTTGTGTGGGTACTAGCTATTAGTAGTGTAGACTGTGAGCACTTGATATGCTGGGCCGTACATTTAGCACTTTTCTTTCCCTTCCCTTATTAATGCCAGTTAATACGTTTTTATATACATACACATATTTATCTGTATCTATACACATATGAATTAACACTTCTGCTTCCAGGCTGGAAGGCAGCAGAACAGGCATTTTGGGGATCAGTTACATTAGGTCTGCTGAGTCTAATCCTCTGAGTACTAATATATTATTCTTAATCTATGGGAATAATCTAAACCTCTGAATCAACCTTCAAGGGCAGTGGTAGTAAGACAGAAGATAAAGGGTGAACCTACCTCATCAGTACTCCACTTAGAAACTTTACTGGCTGGAATTCCAGCTACACTTGGAAGGAGCTTGCTCTGCTGTTCCCAGCGTAAGGGTAGGCCAGGGATTTGCAGCTTGGAAGACACAATAACTGGTTGAGAAAGAAGCCTCTGTGCGCTGGGTTCTTCAACATCTTCAACAACAGGAAGCAATAAACAAGCATTAAAACCTTCAGTCAACGATGAAATCAGTCACAGTAAAAGCACGCTCATTTCTATTGACAGATATGGGCCTGCCTACACAAGCTGTACAGTTTTGACTACACCAAAATTAGAGTGCCATGAGCATTCTTCCACTAGTATGACTATCATTATATTGGCTCTATATAAATATAACTACTCTTACTTTCAACAAAACACAATTCTATGACAACTGTTAGCATACCACACCATAGGTCAAATAATTTAAAATATTTTAGTACAATAAATCACACACATATTTAATAGTTGTACAGCAGTACAAGAATTAACTTAATTCCAGGGTTGAGCTGTTACAAATTCATGAAGAGCAGAAATGCACTGCTACAAAATTCCAAGTGAATCAGTTATACAGTTCCGGCCCACGCAACATTTATGGCTCATTCACAAGAAAAAGTTTTTCAGTTCTTCTGAGGAAAAAAATCACAAATGTCTGCAAATTCTCTGCTTTAACTGAATGGTTTTTTTGGAAAGTAACATTTAACTCCTTCATGCTGAGTTTTATCTTACTCATCCATAATGAAACGGACGATCTCCCACCCCCCTGGCCTCAAAGGTAACGTACTGGATGAGAGGGGGTCTTCAGCCACATGCTGCTGTTGCTGCTGTTGTCTGGATAAAAGCAGCAATCGCAGATGTGAGTAGGAGGAAAGAGCGAAGAGGTATGCCTCAAATGATGTCAAAATGCATAAGACATCTACGTTCATTTAAATCCGTTGGAAATGCACAGTGAGGCTCCTCTAGAATATATAATATGGCCAATATAGGATGTTATTACACTTGCTTAGGCTGTTCTGCTCCTCTGGCTTAATTTTTTGTTACTTTCAAGACTTATCCTCATTTTATACCGATGCCTATTATTCAGAAGTTGGCTGATAAGCCATTTAGTCAGCACTGTCAGCCTACTCATCAATTTTTTTAAACAGACTCCTTGATTTTTTACTATCATCATACTCTCACTCTTGGAAGTGAGTTCTCTAAGTGTCTGTTTACATTTCACTGTTGTTCTTCAAATGTTCCTTAGAGACTCTAATACTAGTAAAAGTCTCAGTGAGAAAAGAATGAGTCTCGTAAGGCAGCAAGCATACTGAATGTAAAGCCTATTTTATGGAATAGTATCTTTTTAATTGTTCCCTTGAATCTCATTCCCATGCTTATCCTCTGACTTTTTCATTCTAAAAAAAATCTCTTAATAGTTGAACATAAGTATTTCACTATTTTTCTGTCTTTCATTCACAAAACATATAGTACATTGATACTGCCACATAAATAGCAGACTACAATACTGTGTGAAGATAATATCACACAAATTATACCCCATATTCACACATCTAAACAAATTGTACATAACAGCATATAGGTACATGCATAGCAGCAATGACAGCTGAGGTTATTTATGTCTCTGTTTTCAATACTTTACAGCTGTGTCAAACCCTAACAGTACCAGATGAAAAATCTATGCTGGTCATCTGTCTGTGCTTTGGGTTTTAAATTTCAAGCAAACACAGGTCAGCTGTTTATGAATGAGGTTAGCAGGAAATAAGTTAGCTAAGGTGACACTGAAAAATGCCATCTACTCACATTCATCATCATGTACTTCATCTACTCATATTCAAGAGCTCTATTTACTGACATGGAAAAGAATGCAATACCTAATGCCTTTGAGGATTTGGACATAAATAAATAACTCTGCTCCTCAGCCTGTATGGTATCTGCCTCACAGATAAGATGAAGAGCACGAAAGGACCACGTAAAGTGCCAATTTACCCAACTAGATGGGAGGAAAGAAAAACTAAAAGTCTCTAACCCTGCAGCAGGTATAACCACGTCACTGACAAAAGGAAGTTCAGGCTTAGTGTGGGTAACCTTCTTGTAACAGAAAGTCCAAACCACAGCATTTTGGCTACCATCTATGTCTGTAACACCAGACATCTGAAAGTTGTCTCATTCTCTTGTATTCCTTGCTCTGCAAGCCCTGCTTCCCATTGAGAGGCAATCTCTGTTTCTGGGCCAGGGAAAACAGGACATGTACTCAATTGGGACATTTAGGAGAGGAGTAACTTGAGGCGCACCAAAGGTTAGCCAGTTTCATCACAGAGCCACAAACAGCTTCTTGAACCATTTAAGTGACTGAAGAAACAAAATCTGCTTGCCAGCTTCACACGAGATAGCAGTCAGAGGCAGTAAGTTCACACTTTTAAACCTGACCCATTATCTGCTGGCATTCTGCTTCAGCATCAGCCCACTTGCCTTTATGTTCTTCTTCATACTTTATGTCACCTTGTTATCCTTCTCTCTGAACCATATCATTCTTAATCCATCTCTATCTTCTTAGCGAGAACAAAATATAACCTTACATTTCAAAGAAGCTAAACAGCAAATACTTTCTAGCATTAACGAGAGACCATTAACAGTGCTCTATTTCCTCCTGCACGGTTCTAGTCCTTACCATGTATAAAGTTTTTAAGTGCAAAATTTATGTCCATAAAAAAAAGTTAGTATGAACGGACCATGATTTCCGTGAAGTTCTTCACCTCCAAATAATCTTTCTCCAAAAAAGGGAAGATAGCAGTACACATTTATAAAGTTACCAGTAGAGAACTAGTCAAGAGAGCATGGCAAAAGCAGGCTGAAGAATAATTATGTAAGTGACAGGCAGAAAAAATAAGGCAACAAGCACGGGTACCAAGAGTCACAGTTCCCAAAAACCACAATTATTTTATCTTGAGCTTTCCATGATTATGCTAGCAAGAACTCAATGACCCATTTTCATCCTACAGATTAAGTATTATGGCACATTTAAACACATAACAACACAACATTACATTTATAAAAAGGACAACTTTTCTAGACAGTAATGTAAGAAAGTGTTCTATTTTCATAAATCTTATTATGCAAGAACCTAACAAGCAGAGCTTGTTGGTGAAACTTTAACCAAATAGTCAATTCTGTCAAACTCAAAATGCTTCACAAAATCAGGTCAGTTTTCTTAGAATTAAAAAAGAATTCCAGACCATTTAAAATACTCCCAACTATTTGAATTTTTTTTCTCTTTTGTATAATGCAAAGTCAAACAAAAACTGCATGCTTCCTTTCTGCTGAAACAAAATACTTAAAATGACCAAAACCTCTCTTTCTTTATTTGCTTTAGAGACTTTCTTCTTTTAATGCTTCATTTTCTCTAGAATTCTGAACTACATCATGTTTCAAAACACCATAACACCTTTTTCACAGCTCTTACAACAGATGGAATCTCTCACACTTTACACATTCTTTAGAGTGCCTCTTAGATCTATCTCAAAAGTGCTGGCAGATAAATGATATTTTAAGATTAAAAAAAATGCATCAGAGGTTAATAATTAAAAATAAACCACTACCTTAATTTTATTTTTATGCAATGCTCTACTAGTCTCAAAGAATTTTCTGAATTTTACAAAGATGAGATCACTCAGAAGGTAAGATACATAGCCTTTAAAGAACCACAGTTACTCAAGACCTATGAATTTTAATGAAAGCCTTATAAACTTTGTGTTGTTGCACAAAAATTGCTGAATAAAATCTAAAAATTTAAGGGACTAAGATTAGGAAATTAAGACATTTAGCTTTGTACTGATCTTGCATGAGTTAATAAAATACTACAGCAAAAGCTGCACTGAAACAATGCACTGACTCAATCCAGTAACTAGCTTGACGCATTAAGTTTCACACACACAAAATAATTATCAAATATAAGAATGTGATGTTCTGCATTTGTGCTGTATTCTTTCTGAACAATGAGGATAAAAATGAATAATGAACAGCTACCTCAATCTGCCCAACTGGATCTGTGAACAACCAAGAGTTTTGACAGAGCAGTACATACAACCACACAGAATCACTGAACAAAAGCACAGTCCATGTTGGAAGGGGCCTTTGGAGACCATAGGATGCAACCTTCTGTTAAGAGCAGGGCATTAGACTAAGTTACCCAGGGCCCTGTCAAGCCAAGTCCTAAAGACTTTCAGCAAGAAAGATTCCACCTCTTTTCTGAGCTGCCTATTCCAGTTTTTCTCAGGGTGAATAGTTTCTTCCTTATATTGACAGAGAACTTCCCTGAAGCAACTTCTGTCCATTCCCTTTTTCCCACCACTGAGTAGCCTGGAAGAGAGCATACCTCCATTTTCTCTGTAACTACCTTTTAGTTACTGAAGGACCGAGACTACATTGCTCCAAGACTTCCTGTCCCAAATTCTTTCAACGTTTCCTCACATGTCAAGTCCTCCACTGGACTGTCTCCAGTTTTTCAGTGAGGTAAAAATTTTAGCAATTCTTTAACACTCACGAAAAATAAAGAGTCTGCTCTGCATATGGGCTGCTGGAAAGTTATCAGACTGCACAGAAGACTTAAGAAATTTTCCTGTCTGACCAACCAGGATCCACTCTGGCAGTTACCCTCAACAAGACTGAGGCTGGGCTGAGTAAGTGAATGTTATACTTTTACAACTTGGACTGGTTTAATTACCTATTTTTAAAAGTCATTGGAAAAACATTCTTAAATTGAAATTTTTTATATCAGTATTTATTTTGCACTCCTCTTTACAACTGTGATAAAATTCTTGGCAAAGCCTTTGATGATTATAAGATAAAGAAACAGTGCTCAAAGTGTTGCTGTCAAGAAATTTTTGGACACAAATAGTGAAAGTGGAAAATAAATTGTAATGAGAATTCTCATGAATAAGTTTCATGAGAATTTCAAGGAACATCACACTGCTTCAATTCTGCAGATTTTAATACGAAACAAATGAAGTACTGACAATTTACCTTTAATTTCATTTGAAATTAGCAGGTTATTTTCTGTCTCCTCATCTTCACATTCTTTGTTCTTTATGGTGTCCTTTGTTTGTAATACTCCACTGAGGAAAATAAGATGTTCAATTTTTATTAATACATCATAAAAATCACTAAGCATGACGACATCTCTTGCTAACAATGCTATTAACACACCAGGATTCCCACATAAAGGATGCTGTATCACCATAAAATAAAAAAATAGAGAGGATGTAATTTCTGACTTGATTTCCGGTATGACTACAGGCATGAATTTTGCAAAGTCTCAAGAATACTGTAAACTAAGATTATGTAAATCACATCAACACATTTGACTTCATAATTGAAACTGGAAAATATACAAATAAAGGCAGTGGATGTGTCCACAGCACAAGATGGGAAGCGTAAACCCACATATATACCTGCATGTCCTACGAAGCCTTACTGGTTATCCAGGCCATTTTCAGGAGCTGTCTGAAATAACATCTAATATTTCTCTGCCCAACCTTCATCTCCACCTGACATCAACTCCTTTACTATACTGACACCCTATTGTGCAACAGTTAAATGATCCTACTGAAAATATCTGTATTCCTTTGTATGTTTTTGCATTACTTCTTACCCAGCTAGAAAAGTCACTCTTTGCCTGCTGCCTGTGGCTGCTCCCTCAGCTTTGCCAGCCCAAATATTTGCAGAGGGAACATCTTCCCCCTATTGAGAAAAACTGGGCAAGAGAGGTGGAAATAAGAGAATTTCTCAAGGTGGGTCTGGGTGCATTTGCATCTTAAAATCAGCCCCTGGGAAATTCCTTTTTAAACTCTGCCTTCAGAAGGTATTCCCAGCATCATTTCTTACAGACATGAAGCTGATATGAGCTTGCTGACATTACGTGTGTATTTCCTTGTGCTTTTAAGAACTTGAGAACACTTTGGCCAAGTCTTACTAAACCATCACAGATGCAGAGCTCTCGGCAATACTAAGTACATAATGAGCATTTTCTAAAAATAGGCAGAAATCTTAGAGTCAAGACTACAAGAAAGCCTACTATTATATGAACGGATGCTTCACCTACGTGCCAGAGAAGCAGCCAACAAGAACCCCTTTACAAATGTCACAAACACAGATAAAAAGCCAGTCTAGACTAACACCTTGTTAGACATCAAGATTAGCTAATCTCAAAACACAAATCCACAGAAGAAACAGACTTGTTTAATTCCACTGTTTACATTTATGCAATTAAATATCATTTCTATATTATATACAAGAAAGCATTTGTCATTAAATCAACTAGGAGCTTTGAGGTCCCTGACATCAATAATAATGTAATTAACACACTATTAATAGTGAAACAATGAGCACTGAACACAGCAAATCAGAAAATCCAGCCTTTGTAGTATAGCAAACAATACCAGTGGAATGCGTACAGCAGGCATGCCTTCTTGTGCCACAAAGGCCTCCTTCACAGTATCTTCATCAGAAATGTTATCTTGACTTATTTACGTAAAAATTATTTTCCTAACTCTACAAACACAGACAACTTCTAAAGTAACCTGCTACAAAGTAGTGCAATTGATCCAAAGGCAAAGGAAATGACAAATGTAAATCAACGTGAGGAAAAGAGACAACCAAAACCTGTGAGGAAACAGGTACCTCCCTATTTTCCTGAGGACGATTTTCATAGCAACATGCATCCCGAAATTTTACCTCACTTGTTAAATACAAGATAGTAGCATGAATTGAAGGTTTTGGGGAAAAGGTTAGAGGACAAACGGAATTGCCTTTTAAGAAGCAGTATAATTTGATTCCCAAGTGTGAGTGTTCACCTTCTTTCACTGTAAAGATTTCCAGAGTGGAATTCCTATTACAGGGAAATTCTTTTGCTACTTGGAAGATTCTTTAAAATTAAACTTGAATATGCTATAGGCATGTAATTTTTATACTGAATTTTCATCCTAGGAACATTCCAGAGGGACGGACAGCAAGCAGTAATTACATACATAATTCTGCAAACCAAAATATTCGAGTATAATTGTTTGATGCACAGAAAGCTCAAAAAAAAAAAAAAAAAGAAAAAAGAAAAGGAGCAAGTGGAAGTGGAGATTAGCTGAGTACCACTTAGATTTAACACAGCATAATAAAACTCATGTCTGGTTTCCTATGTGGTTGGATCCTCAATCAAGGACTTCTTTGAAACAAGAGATTACCTGGAATATGAAGGTATACACAACTGAACTGAAGTCAAACAGAATTAAACCTACACTGTGAACTCAGCAGCTAAAGAGCACACAAGTGTATGTATCTATGTCGTCAATTATGCATGTGTACTTTGAATACACATCTAAAAAGATCCACTGGGTACTGCAATAACCAGATGCTCAATATTTTATAACCCAAGCAGTTCATACATACCTAATGTTGTGAACATTATTTTTTATGCCCTTTTCAAAGGAAGATTACTCATCTGAAAGTCCTCTATGACTATGCTGTATACGTAATGAATATGGAAAGCTAGATGACAAAATGCAGACAGTCATCAGTGTATTCAAACAGTTCAAATACAAACTGAGAAGTCTCTGGGTAGTTCAAAGTTGGCACAGGACTGTTAATTCTCTTAATGAAAATGACTCAACAATGAACAGACAGCACATGTATTGGTTATCTTAGGTCTTCCAAGGATAACACCCTCTATAAAAATCAAAGACAACAAAAAATTTTTCTTCAATTAATTGTAAGAGACAGTCTGTAAAGCCAAAGTATATTTCAAAAAAAAAAGGTGAATTTACTATAATGATGGTTAAAATGATGAATGACAACTATTTTGTAACACAGGTTATTTCAAAATTACACTTGAAACTGTCTTTTTTTTTTCTGTTTATATTCACTTGAGTATGACTACTTTATGCTGCTTATTTGTAGTATAAAAATTATACCAACACTGCTTGATGCTCCTACTAGAACTTTTCCAATATAACTTGAACACTATAATCCGATTGAAATAACATGAAAGAATGTTTTAAAGAAAAGCTGGCCAAAACTAAAAAGACGCAAAAAGCTACACACTAAATTTAGGATAGGTTTTTGCAACAAAGGAAACAATAAGAGTCCAGAAAAGAAAACTATCTAATGGAAAAAGGAAGGGAAATCATAAAACACTGCCAGATTTGGTTAACCCAGTTTGAAAAACAAGTTTGAAACCAGTTTGAAAAAATCTTGCAGTGTTTTCAGAGGATTTAATTCATGGAATATCCTGAGTTGGAAGGGACCTATACGGATCATTGAAGTCCAATCTTTAAAAAACAGTTAAGTTTCAATCATCAGCTTTACTGTGAGGTATTTATCATATAATACCAACTCTCCAATGTTTGTCTCTTGAGACACTATTATTGCTAACACAGTTCATATATTATGAGCACAAAATAACACCACATGTAACACTTCTTGTTCCAGGGTGTCATCTATTTCTGTATGAAAACAGCCAATAAAATAAAGCAGCGATACCATAACTAATTAAAAATGTAGGGAATCCTATTGCCTCACATATTTACCCCATGAAAATACCGAATTGCATCTTTTATCTTCAAAAATAACTTTTTTTATACCATAAATACTATTTTCCAGTGCAAGCTTGGAAACTATCTCATGTCATTTTCTGTCAAAAATGTACTCCAGATGCTGAAAGTTAAGGAACTACTTTTAATTTTCCCACATTTCTACGTGTTTATTCATACACAATAACATATTTGTACACAGACCTAGGAAGAAGGATCTCAACTTCCAATAACTGATCTCTATTGTAGGTATTTTTCCTCTCGTCTGATATATGTTTCTTATTTATTATATACGTTGTGATACTCCCTTTCCCCATATTTCTAATATAAAGACAGATGAAGAACTTCCATCTCCTTCCCTGCTGCTTTGAAGAATTCCACAGACAAATTACTGGACTGCATTCCCTGGTAAGTTACATTTTACACTGACTGACTCCAAACAACCAATAGGTTGAAAGGAATTGAGAGTTACCCAGGTGCCTTCTTTTCTTTCACATTGCATAAGAGGGGCTTCTTGCAAGGAGATTTACTTTCTGCATCTTCTAGCTTAGTTGTTTCTGGTCCAGTCTTCCCAGATGGTCGATTGTGAGCCGAAGATTTCATACCTACGTGACCAGGGCTGGGGCATTTTCTGTCACTGTTTAAAACAAATTAACACAGCATTTAAAAGCTGGAGCAGCTAAGCTGTTGTTTAAGTTATTTTCTTTATGGAGAAAGAGTCATTAGCATAACAGAAGACATACAAGGTGGGTTTTTTTGTTTTAAGAAATACATGGTTTACTTGCCACCAAGAAAATTGTATACCTGGGATTTTCAGAAATCACAATACAGAACCCTCTTCTTCATTAAATCAATGGTAAAACGATTAGGCAATTCAATAGGAACAGAATTTGTCCAATAGTATTTTTGATAATAAGCTATCCACTTCAAATACTTGTAACACAAGAACACTTCGAAGTATCATTTTCCTCCTATCCCTTCTCTCCCATGATATACCACTATGCATCCTTTAACATGTCATATGTAGCCTCTTAATTGGGACAATGAAAAAAGTAGCACTTGACACAGTTCCCATCACAGAGGACACTCCTCAAACTGCTACTGGATTCACTGGGATGGTACCCGAGCTACCTGGCAGTGAGTAATTAAATCACTTCAGATTTCTAAAATCCTACATTTTATAAGAACAACTGAATCAAGCAGTGCTCTTTGACAGTGTAGTATTTTGGTTTATAAAGCATGAAGCTGAAACTGTCTCCAAGAACGCAATTTAAAATACCTTCTATTGAAAATATGTGGTCATTACAGTGGGAACCGGAAATCTTCACTACAAAAATTCACATTTTTACATTTATATTAATGCAGCCCTGAAAAAGAATGGAAAGCCGCTCTTCTTCTCCTTTCCTTCTTAAATTCTCTGTGTATTCCCATAGTCCAAAATAAGCACAGGAATCAGTATCCACAATGTCTTACATAAAATCATCATCAGAAAATAATCATCTTAGTATCACACTCCTTTGTTTTTTCCTAGCGCTCCTGCATAAAAGCTTCAGCTACAGACTTTAGCATTGTTCTTGCAAAACTCAGTCACACTAGCTTGATTCCTCAGTCCCACCATAATGACAGAACAGTGGCTGTTCCTCACAGAGCAACATTACTTTACAGTCATGTCTATAAGGCCACTCCAGCAACTAAAGAAATACAAATAATTTTCTTAAATGTGAAACCAACTGGTAAACATTCAATTTTAAATTCCAATTAACCAACTAGTGGTCTAGATAGTTACACTGAAGATGAAATCAAACTCTTGTTAAATCCCAGACAGTAAAATCAGTATCAGTCTTTGACAGCTTGGTGACCTTTTTCATAAGCACAGATAAAACCATTTTTCCTCCCCGTAAATGAAAACATAGATAAATAGAAAGGCCTTTCTCAAACATTCAGCTATTGCACAACTATAAAGTGCACTGCAGAACACAGAAATAAAGTACTGCTCTTAGTCATCGACATCGCTTTAATCATAATTACTTGATTACAGGAGAGGTGGATCTTTCACTTGCTTCTGCTTTTCTGTTTCTGGGGACAGGACTGGCTGCAGGCATCTCCCCACTCAACCGGTCAGGTAAGAGGCTTTCTTTGTTCAAGTTCAACTCTGAATACGGGCAGCTGACTGCACTAGAAGTTGAAGAAGAAAAATGACTCCTTATTCTCAGACACTTTACAGACTTCATTTATTTCAAACAAAATGACATTTGAGTTTCCTAGAAGCAGATGCAATAATTTAATATAAAGAAGATTAGAAAAACACGCAGTAAGTAGTCATACTTCAAAATGTTAAGAATTCCACCGATTAAAAACCTCAACCTGAATGACTTTTGCATTTCCTTTCGACGGCAACTTATGTAACGCAAATAGTATTAATCTGTATTATAACATTCATTGCAGAAAATTGCTTGGTGAATATTTAGCCTGTTCTCCCCTAATCTTAATGGTATTTATACATAAAATACAGGGCGTCTTGGACTAAAACCATCTCTCTCCAAATGAAGTCATACTACCATTTTTATTGTGAAGGAGGGTATTCCTACTATGTAATGTCTACACAGAAGCTGCATTGCAAAGGCCACAACATGAGGAATGGTGCACAACCTCTTACTGCAGTGAGTGCCCCATCTTCGCAAATGCCCTTTTGTGATATTCCATTAAGGGACTGTGATATTTTCCCAGTCCTTCTTAACATTCAACACTTCCTATTTCCCTGAACTCCAGTTAGGGAAAGAATGTGACACTATGCATTGATATAACCACTTGTAAATATTACTCTAACAAATGTGAAAGCTGTACCTCTCAAAGTCAGAAAAAACTGTGTTTGCATAAAAAGTAGGGGAAGGAAAAACTGCAACACAAACCAAAATACATGGGGCTGAACTAGGATTTTTTCTTTAGAAGAGTGCTCTGCAGTGTTCAACTGATCATCAGCCAGGCTACGTACTAAACACATCAATGATAATATCCTAAACTCTGAATAGTATATATATGCCACAACAGTGAATAACATCATGCTCAAGTTTTCAAAACATGTGCTACGACACTAACTCTAATATGAAATTATGCTTTCCTACTCCTCTGCATTATTACAAGCGCCTCTATAATGTTAACTGGTAAAAAACCTATGTTTTGCAATTTCACTTATTTTCTTTTCAAGAATATAACTACTTGCCTTTCCATAAACCACTGCAATGTCTTATTTGTTTCACTGATAGTTACTTGCATGATTTCCAAACAGAACTGTCTACCTTGACAGCCATATGCCCTGCCACCTCCAAATTACAAAAACAAAGAGAAAAACAATAGCTGTCACTATCATGTTCTGTTTACAAAGCACAGCATTTTAAAAAAGCGACTTTTTTTCAAAATATGCAGTACACTTTCCTTTTCCTTTACCAAGGCAGCTCTGGATTCAGGAGTATGTAACAACTCCTATAAGGGGGCTGGGCTGCATCAGTGATCTAATTTTGGTCTCACCAACATAAACAACAAGTTGGTGGACATTTACATTTCTCTCAGCAGTAGCATAAAAGGAGAAAATTCCTTAAGGTTACACAGGCCAAATCAGTCAGTTCTTGCTGAGGTTATCAAGACAGGAGTCCAACAGCATGTCTGATTTTTTCAGTTGGTTCATTTGAAAACAAGAACTTTTTAAAATCCTTGAATAGCTATGCTGAACTTGAATTAAAAAAAAAAAAAAAAAAGAACATAGTTTCTGCTTTTCTAATCAAGATGAGATCCCTGTTAAAGGGCACTCTGAGCAGATGTTATTCCACAATAGCCTGTATGGTGTTTTCAAGGGTCATGCAGTCATATCCCCAGGTGATCTAATGAAGCACAGAACAGTCATCTTTGCCGCCTTCTGAGGAACTTTTAGTTTACACAGCCAAGTAAGATATAGTCAAATGGGTGGCTGGACTCTAAAACACTATACTTGAAATCGGCTATTTTTTTTAATGAATTTTTTAAAGACATGGAACAAAATATACAAACAAAAATTAACTTGGAGCATTCACCTTTTATTTCTGCTTTCTCTTAAGCAGAATCAGGCACTTTATTTTAAATCTATTTATATATCTCTACTTACATTTATTTTTCAACCTACTGTTTTTGTCTGTCTTAGGACTAGCCTCTACCAAATGTCTTAAAAGCACAAAAATAATTAACTGAAATATGGGGAAGAAATCGGGAACATTAGGAAAGAAGGGAAGTTGCTTTATACTCCCCATTCTTTATGTTGCTGCATCTATCACAATGATGTCTTCTTTCCCTTTCAAACAAACTACAAGATGAAAGACACAGGCTTCTACTCAGAAGTTTTAAGGTACCAATGCTAGTGTGATCTAAGTTCTTGCTGTGACAAACACATACCACTGTGATGAAATACAGTTATCAGAAACTCATGGATATATTGGTTAATCTCAGTTCTGCCATTGCTATAAGGCAAAGTATATAATCATCTTTTGGCTTCCTATGTTTACAGGGGTGTTTTAAGACTTAGTGTTTCTGAGCAGTTAAAGGGCTGGACTGTCACAAGGAAACACTGAACACTAGTAATATGGTATTTAACTTCAGTTGTGTACTATTAAGTAAGCCTTACACCACAATGAAATCTGACAATAGGATTGTCATACTCCAGCAAGTTTTCTGTTTATCAACACCAATAACGCATTTTAAATTAAAAGAAGGAAAAGAAGAGCCTCAATATTCAGTCCTTTATTATAACTTGCCTGCTTATATAATGCCTTTTCCTTTAGTATTTTCTGGAAAAACAGAAGCTGAATGACAATTTCAGTCAACAACAGTTATAATATTAACGATGTTTTAGAACACTAGATTCATACGAGTTTTTCTTTGTAATTAATCATTCAAGTTGTTGTATCATTTTTTAAAAAGTCATTGATAGCCCTTAGATGTTACTGTTACTTGAGGCAATAAAAAGAGTCCTTGTGGTTTCCACCGTTACCTTTGGTACAACAAAACACAGCATGAATGAACCTGTGTACAGGTTACACAGCTTCCAATCAATCAGTAAATCCTCCTGAATCTCAATGCCTCCAGCCTTCAGTTCTGTTTAACTTGTCTACTGTAAAGAATAAAGAAATTAATATTTTTATTCCTTCACAATAGAAGTATTTGATTTATATAGGACTAAGTTTTTAAGACAACTCATCTCAAGGGCTCAGAACTCTTAGGTTATTTAATATTAAACCAGGACTTTTAACTCTTCTGTCACCTTAAACCTAGATTTCTATTCCAGCTTACAGTTTGCTTTAGCACACCATTTTGAAAATAGCAGAAGGTCAGAATGCAAATTCCAAACTGATCAGATGTCCTTGGCTTTGGGGTACCAAGGTCTGCCAGAGGCTCAGGAAGAACAGTAAGAAGCAAAAGCAGCAGGTACTTAATGTGAAACCTCTGCTATGCATCTGACAGGGCTGTACACCCTCCAGCACTGCTCCACAGCTTTGAAACCAGTCCAGCACAAACATCTCAATTATCATCTGAGCTGTTTCAGTAAAGAAACATTCACATTCATACCACCTGACACACACACACACACCCCCCGCACAGGAAAGCAATCAGCCATCTCTAAATGCTGAAGGAACATAGCATAGCAGTTAGCTGCCTACAGTACACTACTAAAATGGCAGCAGATTGGCTGGCAATATGTACGTCCATGACATGGTTTTCTGAGGAAAGGGAGTCACTGTTTCCAGGGTCCTGCATACATTGAGTAAAAACTGAACATTAAAATAAGTTTCTGTTCTTATTGAATCATGAGAGATGAATTAAGTAAAAAGCCAATGCATGATTACTACTACTTGTATATACAATTCTGATCACAGGCCTGGGATTTTCAAGTCAACAGAGGTTTTACATAACCAGCCCTTTCCAGAACTGTCCGATGGAACACAAGTGTTGAAGTAGCATATCCCACCTATGTTTATTTTGCAACTGCTCTTCTATCATACTCAAGATCTATGTCTAGATGGAGTCACACATATTTCTCTTTTCTATAAAGTTCAAGAGTAGGAAGATAAAACTGGGCTACTAATAGGTAGGCATGGACCTTAGTCTTCTCCAGACATTTGAAGATGCTCCTATATTGTAGCAGTACACAAATTTTCTGATGCACAGAGTTTAGATGGATTACTCAGCCTCAGCTACACCTAATATCAGAAGAGAACATAAACCAGGGTTTTCTCCTAAAGTGAAGAAGAGTAAGGTAGCACTCTGTTCAGTCTAAGAACTTTAATAATGAAGTACTTTTAAATACAGATTATCAGTCTTTATGACCACTTGGACTTTGCAAACCTGCATCAAGCCATAGACAGGTCTCCTGATTTAGCTGTATTGGTAAAATGACACTTGAGACTGGCATCAAAATCAGACAAGTTACTTTAGCAGACACTGAACAAACAGGTGCAACATCCTACTGAACTCAGGTTTCCTGTGTTTCTGTCCTGCGGTTCTCTTACAACACAGCCTCCACTGTGGCACATTCAGTTCACTTCAACTTACACAACTAATATACCTGTGAAGTTTCTGGCAAAAATCTTTATTCATGGAGACTCAAACCACTAATGCAGTATTTACAACTGACCTCTTTGCATTACTGCTTGAACTGAAGAATTATTGCATGCATTAAACATCAGAGTATACAATTCACAACCATAAATATGCAGGTGATCTGCATAATGCTAACAACCTGTACACCAGGCTGTTTCAGCTGCACAGCACATAACCCTAGATCAACTGCTGATAGATATTGAGTCCTTATTAACATCAGCTTTTCCAAAAAGTAAGTGCTTTAGCCCTGCTACCTAATTAATCACCAAGGCTTTCATCTCATTCCTAAGGAACAAGCTCTCAAATTATTTCAGAACTACTTAGCATTTTAAATTATCATCTTTTCTGCACACAGGCATTTATGCTGGAGATAGATGTTGTACCTCATCATGAAAAAAAAGATAAGCATGGTTAAATACATTTCAAGGTTGCCAAGATCAAAGAGCCAAGGGAATGGTACCTGATGTGGATAATTACACCAATTTTAAAACCTCTCTGTTAATTCAGGAAAAAAGTGACAGTACAATGTCAGAATTTTTGGGGTGACCTAGACCCTCAAGTTTGTATGCTCCAGATGAATAACAAATCTCTTTTACTTTCCTCAAAAATGCTCGAGAACAAAACCAGAATATCAGCACAGAGAGCAAACCAATACAGCTAGTGAATAAGATACTTATCGGTGTTAATTTTTTTGCTATGAAACAGCAAATGGCTGTCTTATAATCAACAAAGTCTCTTTGGTTATATTTTTATACCCGAGAACTACCAGTTAATGTGCAAATAATAGGATTGCTAAGACTGCAGTAAAACTAAAAGACAGTAGATTGTCATGAGTTTATTTCTTTTCTTAATATTGAGGATGAGTAAGTATAACAACTTTAAATAGCATGGAAAATGCAGCTATAAAAGAAAGGCTACAAAAAGTAAATAGACAAAGCTCTTACTCATCCCTTCCTCTAAAGCATTTGAACTTTTAATGCCAATGTTTATTTAGAGAGATCATAAATTAAAAACTTTTGAGACATTCATTTTCTTTTATTTTAAGTTTCAGCCTTGGGCTGAAGCCCACAGTTATGTTCACCTGATTCTAAGTAATAAGTAATCGAGATAGCACATGTAAGGAATTGGAATTTATTGCCCTTACAGATCAGGCGCATTAATAAATCATACAGACTCAAGTTTACTAGACTGTGAAATGAAATGAGTTTCAGACAAGCAGCCAGGAAGCTTTTTAGGCAAGTCTAGTTTACTTCACATTTGCAATGGACTAAGCACATGAATGCAGTAGGTTACCATATGATAGCTGAAAGATGGTAACCTCTTAAGGACTGACTTGGCTGTTTAAGGAGTTATTCTAGTTATTGTGTGAAATAAAAGAAAGGTATTAAAACTGGGAAAAAAACCAAAGAAAAATAACATGGACAGAAAAATACAACAGGAATAGGTTGAGAATAGCCTGAAACACAATGATGTGGCAGACTGCATCATGACAACTTCACCCCAGTTCATACTGAAAGAAGTTCTGTCACTGGAGCTAACCTAGCTCCCCTTCCTGGGAACAAAGCTTGTCGTAGCATCAGGAGCTCTTTTTGCCTCCTAACAGCAGAAATACCATGCTTCTGCTGTAGATAGGGAAGAACTTGCAACAGAAGATGCCTTTCGCACACCAAACATGTAAGAACACAGTGGGTTTTGCTGGCCAGGTACCTCTGTTAGGGATTAATTAGGACTTCAGCCAGTGCTGATATACCATCAAAACCTTGTAGCATAATTCTATTTGACAGGACATAATTCTCTCATGAATACCAAAAGACTGCAGAGCTAACTTTTGGATCACAAGAGTTTAAAAAGATACTTTAAAAACACAAATAACCAAAGAGCAATCCCCTAAACATATGAGAGCAGATAGAACAAAGTGGTATGACATTTGAGAATCCTATGACTGTGTAATGGAAAAATTAGAAGAAAACTTCTGGAAGCTCTGATTTGCAAAAACATAATAAGATGATATTTATGACACTTAATTCTCAACATACAATATTACCACTGTATCTGTTACTGACATATTCAGGAATCACCTCACACTAAATATTTTTAAAATAATAGAAGTTTCACTTGGCAAATATTTCCCATTTACTCTGTTGTTGTCTCTCTGCCCCTCCATTCCATTCTCCCGTGCTACTGCTTTTCCTATGTCAACTCCTCTCTAGGACGGGATGTCCACATTTCTGTATTATACTTCAGAAGGGGTTCAACAAAGCATCTTTAGAAACACCAGATACAAGCAGCAAGCTGTCATTTGGGAATATGTCAGTTGGAATCTCCTTTCTAGCATTTTTGCAAGCCAACAAGCAAATCCTTACCCCTACAAACCAAGCAGAACAAATACATCCAAGCCATAATAAAATCAGTGGCCTCTTATTTAAAAAAGTTCAAAAGTTATTGCTTTATACATATCTGTGTAATATTTGCAATCTGGACAGCAAGACAAGGAATCCTCATAGGAACAAAATACAGAGTAACTGAATCTACCAATTGTGACAAAAAGGAATGTATAACAAATCTCAGCACATCCTGATGAAATGAAGTTACAGATTGCTAATGTTTATTTCAGCATGCTCACCATGGCAACTGAAATCATGGCATATTTAGGTTTACAAGATTTCCTTATTCTTTCCAGCTTGGATCTGTTTTCTTGTGAATAACAATTTAAAAAAACCATCTGCACACATCCCTCAAATGAAAGAATAAAATTAGTTTCACAGAACATACCTATGATGGCCAATATGTCTTGCTCTTTTAATGTGTCCAACTCCCTTACATCCTGCTGTGGGACATCCTCCATGCTCTAAAGCTTCCACCAATTCCAAGGGACCTGCATGTCAGGTGAAATTACAAATGAGATTTTAAAAAAATTATCTGATATTTAAAAGCTATATAAATATGCAGAAATACCAGCACATCGTAGCAAACATGAAGAAGTAAGTAAACAGAAGTACTTTAATAATGCATTCTGCAAAAGCATGATGGAGATTCAAACAACCTAATTCACTGGAAGAATGAATTTATTCTACGTGAGTAAATCTCTATGTGAGAACTACATCTATATAAAGAACACAAGTCTTGGAGGAACTGTATGACATCAAATTCCTCTTCTACTAACTACATTTAGTTGGAACTTCGTTGTTTTTCAAGAGCGCAGAAGAAATAAGTTACTCTATCCTTGTTCCTGAAGACAGGGAACTTCATAATGGGTACTGACCTCATACATTTTTTAGTTAAAGTCTTCCAGTGAACAAGATGTGAAAACAAAGGCTGAAAAATACTACTAAAAAGAAGAAGCCATCAGGAGATTGACATTTTTGCTTATCTGAATTTATGTGTCTATCTGATTCTCATCAACCTGTAACAACGATGCCTGCAGAAACATTAAAGCATATACCTGTCAAAACTGTCTTTGACACTCAAGCAAACGTAGTATACAACCCATAGCTTCATAGCAAGTGAGAGACAGACGTACTCCAGTACATAAAACTGAAAACATATCCCGCACATCTGCAAGCATGCACTGTCCCTCTCCAGTACTGGTTTTACTTGAAAAGTACATGAACCTGTATCTCCCTCTACAGACAACAATACAGATATGAAAAGGTCTATTTACATAAATTTTTCTGGATGAAAGACAGATTCTTGCTCGCAAATGGATAATGAAAGAGAGAATTATTATGTATAATTAGAACAGTCCAAAAGGGTTTTATACCAAATGTTCAAGCTATGCAAATGTTGCAACACTACAACTACACTGAAGTTCAGTGACTTCTATAGCCTTTACACAGTGTAATGAATGAGAGAAGAGAGATTTTACCTCTTGTACCTTTAAGAGAAAATTGATGCTTAAGACGTAACAAGTAAGTGGACTCAGAGAAAGAGTTATCTGAATAGGGGTGCTTTTGTAAAGGGAAGTCCTGCCTGACTGATGTTCTGGTTTTGCAAAAACTAGCTCCCTATAAATGTTGTCTTCACTTAAAAAATTTAAACTCTTTAAAAATGTAATTAAAAAGAACTGCAACTGGTTCTCCCTGTTTACACAAGAAGCTGCTGTTTGCATCACTGTGAAACAATATTAAGAGCCATGTATTGGTGATTTTAAGTCCCTAACTGCTATCAAAAAAGTCATAGTCCATCATGACAACATTACATGTGAAAAGACTATGAATACATAAATACTGGTAACTGCTCTAGAATAATACTGCTAACACTGCACAGAGTTCACACAAAAAGCTTCTAGTGTTATAGACTGACCTAGAGCTCATTGGTAAAAGGACTATCATACTGACTGAGGCAAAAATACTGTCTTGTAAAATATTTTCTTCCCTCCTTCCCTTCCCTTCCCTCTTTCACAAGTCTGGTAATGCACTTTAACTTACTTGGAAACAATATTAATATTTTTATAATATTCTATATGGTAATAATACAAAGTCATATTGTTGGAAGACTATATTATTCAGCAATCATCCTATTTTATTAGTGTTTGTGTAGCTTATTTTTTCTATTTAATAGGCAGTCAACTTTCTCTCCTGTCACATTATCCATCTTCATTTTTGTAGCCTAGCAAAAAGTCAATTCTACCAGTTACTTCCTAAAAGAGATGAAGCATGCCTCCTAAGCCATCACTTAGAGGAGATGACATGTTGTATGTGATGGATATCTGTACCTTGCTTCTTTTAATATCTCCAAAAAAATCAATTTATGTATTTTATATTCCCACCTAGGCTAAGATTTTGATTTTTATTTTTGCATTCTTAGGTAATAGAAATGCTGCAACCTTATTCAGCTCTTTTGCCATATAATACAATTTTTATTTATGTGGCCACAGACTACTTTTCCTATTGGGCTGCTTGTTCAACACACAGGACAAACATGTCAGATTAAGAAGCGGATATGCAGCACCTTATCTTCTCCTCATTACTCACTTTGTGCTCTGGCATTTACGGCACTCTATTCAGACTCTGAAGGCAGAATGATTAACTTCCTAACAGGCAGTCATCACTGCACTGTTGGAGTGCTCAGAAAAGTAATGAATAGACTCTGATCACACTCTGGATAGGAATTATTTCTTCTTGACATTTTAGAGACACTGAATTGAGGTACTATAATTTTCAGGTAATACATTCACACAGTCTGTGCGTGACTTATCCCGGTTATTTCACATTTAATTTTTTCAGAGTACTCGGTATTGCTCAGCATTTCTTATTTTCCAAGTACAGTTCTTTCTGATCTTGTTACAGCTGTGAATGCTCAGCACTTGTGCAAACTTTACCTATATAAAACAACCTCAGAGAAGAGCACTACTTAAAAAATCACCTGTTCAAAGTTTGTCTAAAGTGATTTCATTGCTGTTACCTAGAAACACAGTGGCATAGGCAGGGATATATTTACTACAAAAGTCTCTTCTTCCTTTAACCTTCAGTCTCATTTATCAGATATCTCCCACTTCTTCAACAAGTAAAAAAAAATCCCCACAGAGAGCAAGGTGGTAAATACAGTGTTATTATTGGTACCAAGCTTCTGTTACAATTTATTTTTAACACAGGCATCATTAATCCCTCTTTGCTCAGCTGAAGAAGAAAAGGAAGTTAGCTGGTTTTGAGGATTTCTCACAGCATTTGAAAGGAGTGCCTTCTCAATGCAGTCTGCACTCCTGGAGCCAGAAATCCACTAACCATCAAGAGGATGTGAACAAAGGAAACAAAGGATCTTAAGAGTGATACCCTATCCCTACTGAGTACCACAGCAGTTTCATGACTGGCTTCGAGAGGGCCAGGATTTTACAAAACAGATCTTTAATATTACTTCAGGTTTTGACTGTGGTTCTTATGCGTACCAAGAGACATTGTATTTTCATTACAGTAAGGGTCAATAGAGCGATCTACTAAAAAGCGATTAATTACTGACTGTTGATTTTGATCTAAATGTCACATTTACATTATTTTGCATATTCTAGTTGCTTCTCTTCCTTAGATGGCACTGACAGGGAAGAAGACAGCACAGTACATATGCCTTTTACCATCATAATATTACAGTGTGTTTCTCTTACTAAGAGGGGGCTGAAGAGGGTGTCCGGTTTTTGCACACCAGCCTGCAGGATGGATATCAGGGCTATCTACATCAGTCCAATAATCATAAATATTATCCCAGCCATCAAAATGAACCTAAAATACAAAAAGGAGAATAATACATTTTAGATCAGGAATATTCTTCATAAAATTAGTTTACCTAAGTAATCTCTAGAAATGACATGTCCATTAGAGAAATCACTTTCAGAGAACTATTTAAGTTACACAGAAAATACACGTACATTACATTCGGGATCCAGGCATACTCTAACTAAAGTAAAGGGAGTAAACAACCCTATATTATATGGTTGCTTACTGCATTATCAAGCTCAAATCCCAGGAATAAAGCAGTTCTCACATTAGTTCTTACATTAATACTTAAATTAAACATGAATTTCTGCCCTTTTCATCTCTCAAAAAAAATGCCAAACGAAAAGCCAAACGTTTTTTAATCTCCTGTTTGAACAGGATTTAAGAACAGCAGAGCAGTAAGCAAAGGGCTAAAAAAATGGCATTTATCTATAAAAACCAACAACCCCCCATCATAAAAGTAACAGTATTATTAAAATCAGACTACACATGATGTAGAGTTGAAACTGAAGAGAAAACGAAGGATGTGACTTCCCAGAAAAACACCAGTATATATACATGCATTTTTTTTCATGCGAAAGCTAAATATCTTCAAATCTTACATGATCTCTGTTGTAGTAAATAGCTCAGATCTCTCATGCACGCATGTGTGGATGCACGTACACACAGATACATACAGAGCTCTTTCAGCATATGCTACACAGTTAAATTACTACCCTAGAAGTTACAAATTCTGTCATGTAATAAATTAGACTGGAGAGTGGGTTTTTTGTTTGCTTTGGTGGGGTTGTTTTGGGGTTTTTTTCCATCACCACCTTAAAGTTAAGGTAGAAAACGTGTAGGTGTGAAGATATTAGTTCTGATGACTCCCTACCACCAGTTAATTCAAATGATTCAAAATGAAACATCAGCTGCATTTCCTACTTGAAATAACAGGTATGCCTAATAAACCTGTACAAACTGCAAACACATATAACCTTCATTCCTATCTAATTGGATATCTGGTATATGCTAGCCCTCCCAACAGTTAAGGGTTTCAGAGTGTAAACTGGTTTTGTACAATAAAAGAAAATTAATTCAAGTATACAACTTCTGCAAAATACATTAAAAACACATTAGCTTTGATTTATCCAATCTAAAGTCCATAATTAATAAAAACCATCAGAATTTCAGAAATCATTGATGAAGCACAAGAGATCAGGGTTATTTCTATCATATCTCACATATATATCTCTCTTCTCCCTTTGGAAGTTTATAGAGACAGATTCAATTAACCTAGACCAAATATTTTATATTTTATATAATACAAATATCCAAGCAGCCCTTTGACACTTAATATTTAATAATCACATTTCTTGATAAAATAGACAATTGTCTTCTATCAACTATTCCCAAAGCAATTTTCCAACATACTCAACTCTGCTCTCTAATTACTTACCTCAACATAAGTAACTAAGAGCACAATAAAAAAACCCCTTCTGAAGGAATTATATAATATTAATCAGTGAAAAGCATGAGCAGAGATTAGCAGTAGAGAGCAGCGTGACTCAATTCTTTCCATAGTTAATTTTACAACTATAAGATTTGAATTGTACAAAGTCAGTTAAGCAGGATAGTACAATAAGACAGAGAAACTTACTTTTATTCTGTAGTCATCAGTATCTACAATGGTTGCTACTCTGATAAATACTGGATTTCTCTTGTCAACCACTTCAAGTTTCATGTTTTTCTGAAAGCTATGAGAAGGTTTCTAGAAAAGAACAATATTATATGAAACAGAACAAAACCTCAAAAATCTTCTGTAGCTGTAAAATACATAAAATCCATCAAAAATTTTCTGCCCTTATTTTCTCAAATCTGCCCTCTCTCTACAAAAAATTCAAGTATAAAAACATAATTCAAACCAATTAAACTAGCAAAATAAAGTAATTACTTTGGAATTCCAGGTTCTCCTGGAATGGGCTGGATTCAAGTCATCTAAGCAAGAAAGTGGGAATCTTTATTTTTAATCAGTTTTTTTCCTAAATTCTCTAGGAATGTTTTCCTAGAGATTTCAGCCAACAGTTTCAATGCAGTATTTAATAAAGTATTACATACTAGCAGCCTGAAACCTTTATGAAATTATCTACAGGAAACATAGTTGTGCTCTTTAGTATGTGTTTTTGTTTCATGAATCAAATTTTTTTAGACTCATACTGAAAACATAACTAATTCATAGTATAATAGAAAATACTCAGAACAAACAGGACCAAACATGAGTTTTTTAAACACTATTTTGGCAAAAATGGTGTCTTTGGTAGGAGTATCAGATTTTATCTTTCTCATCTACAGCTATGAAAGCTAAAGTAAAATTATTTCCATTTTAAAGGAGCATGCACAAGATGTTGAGGTTTTTATTCTAGTTTTCTAGGAAAATAATGTATCTGTCCCTCTAGGACCTTCCAGACCACTGGTGTTTTTTCTTCATCTGCAGCTTAAGGACTCAATTTTCTCCCATAACACAATATAAAGCCGTGTTATTATCTCATAACTAAATACCTTCCTAGTCCTTGCTCAGGGTATTCTTGGTGAGAATGTAAGATTAAGAAATGTTATTAAGCCAGATAGATGCACCTTGGGGTGATAAACTGCAGGTCATTAATAAACTCTGGTAATCTGCTGACCTCAGGAACCACTATAAACACCACAGTTTTGCTTTTGTTAATCCAGCTGCTCTTAGCGAAGTGTTATTCAGAATTAGTGTCCCTCATCTGAAAAGCTGAGGCAAATGCGCTTTAGTGTGCTGTGAGACAAGGGGCTGGGAACTACCAGCCATCTGACACTGGCTCCCACCATCAATCCAAGATGATTAGAGGGATGGAGCATCTCTCCTACGAGGAAAGGTCGAGAGAATTGGGTTTGTTCAGCCTGGAAAAGACACAGTTTGGGGGTGACTTCATTGCAACCTTCCAGTACCTGAAGGGAACCTACAACAAAGATGCAGGGATTTTTTTACAAGAGCATGTAGTGATAAGGCAAGGGGGAATGTATTCAAACTACTGAGAGTAAGCTTAGATTAGATATTAGGAAGAAGTTCTTTACTGTGAGGGTGGTGAGGCACCTGAACAGGTTGCTCAGAGAAGTTGTGGATGCCTGATTCCTGGAGGTGTTCAAGGTCAGGTTGGATGGAGTTCTGAGAAACCTGGTCTAGTGAAAGTTGTCCCTGCCCACAGCAGGGGGCTTGGAATTAGATGATCTTTAAGGTTCCTTACAAACTAAGCCATTCTATAATTTTAAGATTCCTTTCTGCATTAGTGACCATCACTGAAATTTTAAGAGCTCAAAAAAGACAGCTGTCACCGAAAGAAACCAGCAAGAACAAAGATAAAGGAAAAGGATGTTGCCCACGAGCACCATAGCTAAGCTGGAGAAGCTGCCTGTGGACGCTGCCCATGGCCCTTAGCTGCAAGCTTGTAGAAGTCTACTAAACAGTGTTAAATACAAGTTCTCTCTTGGTTACTGCCCAAGGCAGTGGACTGGATGGACAAGTAGACTAATCTCTTACAATCATTTTTACACTGTATTTATTGCATTATATAAAATGTACAGATAAAAATATATATCTTCAAAACATGTTATCATGACTCAGTAGCTACCTCATTATTTCTAATAAGTAGGCAGTAATTTTCCATAGCAAATTACATTAATTAGTAATATATTTGTAGCATTTAATCTCATTTACAATAATTAAAATAATAAAGTAATAGTGATTTATAATAATCCGATTTCTAACAGTGAACTGCAAACTTGCATAAAAATAAACCACCTATTATGCAACTATTTAACTGGACACATTTGGAAACACAGGAATACCATATATGTATTTTCTTCTTAAAGTACTTAATTACATGAACTTAAAAAAATATAAGCATTTTCTCACCACTTTAAAAGCCCTTGCAGGTGCAGGTAATGAACTGGTTTCTTCCAAATACTTCTCCCAAGAAAAATGCTTAGCATGTGGATAATCTGGCACAGAAGAAATGTGACCAAAATTAAACACAGCAGTGCAAAAAAATAAAGTTAATGTCTAATTTACAGAGTGCCTAGCATTTTTATAATACTGTTCTGATTTATGGTTTGGACTTATAAAATAATTACAAGAAAGGTTCTTCTAAAGTGTCTTGGACACATTCACCATACAGGTCAAAAAAGCCAACAGCCTTCTAATACACAATACTGAGAAGCTATTGTACCCAATTGCTTTGGATATGGCAATATTCTCTGACTCCCTCACTAATATAAATAATGTGGACTGGAAAAATCTGTCCATTTAATTAAACAAGTTCATTCAAGTAATAAACAGTCATCCACTGGCAAGGACAATCTAATCAGTGATAGGTTTGTACTACAGCTGAACACACCTTACTACTTGTTACTCTTTTAGTGAGCTCTTTTTAGCTAAATTTCTAAAGAAATACCCTGGACCTTTATGATAAAACTAATCTACAGAAGATGTTGCCTTTTTCAGCAAGTGTCCTGTTTATAAACACTTTATGCAAGAAACACAAAGATATCTTGGCAGGGCCTGTCCTTCACCTTTAGTCTGCACCAGAAGTTTAGCTTGAAGTTTACACATTGTGATTCGCAATCTAGAAGAGAACAAAACCTATTCTAATTTGTTTTACAAGGCATTTAGCTGAATAATGGGCTGCAATTAACCTCCTGACAGACAGGCTGCTTATAATTTTCAAGACTGCTGGCTATTAGAATTACTGCCAAAGTTGGTTTTAACCAAGTAAAATTTTCCATGTTCTCAGACCATAGATGCCAGTTAAGGGTTATTTAGATCAACAACAGTCCTGGAAAACAGTGGTGGTCTCAAGGTTCATTCTAACGAATACACTTCCATTCTTCTGTATTGTCTCTCTCAGTGTTTTCCTCCCTTCTAAAGACCTTTACAAGTTTGATTCCTTGATCAACCTTGACCACGTAGGGCAATTTTCTCATCAATCCGTTACCTTGCATATTCAGTTTGCATGAACATGTTTTTCTTATGCAACGGTTTCACACACCTGGAATATGCTTTATCAGCATTTTTAGAATGTGAGTCTTAACAATAAGTGGATACAGTCAGCCAAAAACTTATTCAGATTTCAAGGGATATCTTTTGTGGATAGACATCTCTACTAAAGCAGTATACATTTGAATACTTAACACTTAACATCAGTTACACTTCTACTTTCAATATATTATGTCCTGTAAAAAAAAAATTTACAACTCTACAAATATTAATTTTTAATTGCAGAAAGAAAAAATTCAGGAGAGGTAACAGTAAGATTATTATAAGTTTTAACGATGTTAGCTGATTATAACCTCCTTAAATCTTTCAGATACGTAATAAGATACAAACCTGGTGGGGTGATGAGAGTTCTTTTATGTTCTTTACACCATCCAACAGGATGAATATGTGGGCTAGCTGCCTCACACCTGGAGGAGGGGAAGAAAAATAGGGCGTGACAACGCAGTTCTTCAGACATCTTATTATGCTTTCAAAACTAAACATACAAGAGAGACTTAAATTCCAAACAACCCTCGACACCTTCAACTTACACTTAAAACTGCAAACATAACTTCTTAAACTGCAAACATAACCTGCAGACATGAACACATTTAACACAGATTTGTTACCACTTATACAAGCATTAGGCTTTATTTACAATTTCACTGGAAGATCAAAAAAATCAAGTCCTTTAAGTCTGTGGTAGATTTCCATCGAGAAGTTATAATGTTGGACCTGAAAAATTCACATATAGAGACTCTTGGTAGAATCATATTGGCTGGTTGCAGGAACACAGTAATCCCTGTCCAAGACAGATGGAGTCTTGCAACGCTAAGACCAAAACTTTAAACCAAAAGCTTAAGTATCTTGATTAATGATCCAAGTTGTACCTGAAGACAGAGGTGAAAATCACACATATAATTGCAATGCATGTCAATAACAAGCAAAAATTCAAAACTGTATTCCGAGTGGTTTAAATGGAGCTATAAACGATTTATTGTAACCCAGCAGCACATAAGCAAAGTCTGAAAAAAACTGTCAGCATTTTAGGTCCCAAACTGCATGAAAGAATCCAGAACTAATCCATGATCCAAGACTGCAAACTGCTCTAAAAACACTGACCAAACTCTTTTACTTAAGGGGTTAACCATGTCCCATATTTACTGTCAAGCGCATCATAATCTGTATTAGTGCTGTTGTCTGTGGCATGCCACAAGAACCACAGAATACTAACAGAGGCAGAGTGAGATACACTTGATGTGTTGGCATCTGTCTGAAGCAAGGAGAGATTGCTCTCACCGTACTCACTGAGTCAGTTACACTGTGCGTAGAAGAAAGCTGGGTGCTGGCTATCAAGTTCTCTTACAAAAACAAAACAAGACACACACACTGGAAAAAAATAATTTATATAAAAGTAGATGAGAATAAACCCGTTTAAGCCTTCTGTAGTATTATATGTAGAACTATACATTCATGCTACATTTTGTTATATTATTTCATAACAATACATTTTGCACAATAGAACACACATTGTATATAATATATAATTTATATACTATAATTACTATATTACTACTCAATATTATTAGGAATGGCAAAAAGACAGACTGATATACAGGAAAAGTAAAAAGCTATCAGACTCTGCTGTGAAACATGCATCATCCCTATGTCTGCAGTGAGACTTAATGATTGTTTTTGAGTTGGCCAAACAATTAACCGGGCTTTTTTAATGAAGAACACAGCACTTATGTAGTCAGGATGACTAAGAAACATGACGTTAACATAAAAAGCCAGCATTATTCCGGATGGCACTATACTACGCTGTGCAAACATACTATTTGCTCCTGCAGATCTGCCCTTAAGGACTTCGCTTCTCTGAGGAGCCTGCCCCACCTAATTTCTTCTTTAGTTAGATAAATTCCATATTACAGAGCACTCTCTCTCTTTTTCACTATTTTCTATGCCTAAAGGTATTTCAGTAGCTGACCTTAAATATTTCCATCTACACCTCCTCTCTCTCTTCTGGAGAACCCCATCAGCATTTTCACCTCTCTAGTGACCATGAGCTCAATGTCCCACTCGCTACAAGGACCCATCGAGACCAACAAACTGAAGCCTGAGTATGTGGAAGTAGCTAAGTCCTTCATTCCTGGTTCCTCAGGGAAGGATCAGGAAACCAACCTTAAGTAGCCAAGCAGTGGTCCAGACTGAAACACCATCTCCCCCTCCTGCTGTTTTCCAAACACTTCTCAAATATTTAATGAGAAAAGAAAAGCAGACAGCATCCATGCATGAAGACACTACTTCATACACAATAATACTGCATAAAATACCTAAACACTCACGATCCAGTATCTGTTTAATCCCTCTCAGAAGTCAATGTCTCCATCATTAGGCTGGAGAATAACAGGTATTCTCTCCACTTTCCCTCAACCCAAGAGTTACTAATGCAAAATATCTGAACAGTGTGGATCTGCTCTCTCTGAGTGTTATAAGCATTATCTGTATCTACCCAGAAAGTATTAGCATGCTGGAAGTTTAAATTAAGTTCCCTTAATTAGCGATACTAATTTATATGTTTGTAAAATATCACACGCTGCAATACCTAAGAGGATGCAATAAACCATACAGGACAGAAAGAGGAGTTAAAGGTAAATTAGCAGGCACTCTACCATCTTAAGGCTCAGATTAAATGTGAGGTCTGTAGATCTTGAACACAAACATATTTTAAGGATTGCAAAAGGAAACACACCACAGAAAAGACTGTAGACTGAATGCTGGGCTATTACCACATTAGAGTTTTAAACCCAGGCTGCATAAAAGAAAAACGAAGGAGAACTACATGGAATAACACTTTTTTTTTTTCCTGAAAAGTACTTTTACAAGATGCCTAAAATTCAGTATGGATATACTTCAACAACAGAAATGCAGGTTGGGTGTCTCAGAACGTTGTCTCACAACAAGCACTTCTCTAGCCTTCTACCTAAACAGAGTCAAACACTAATGATGAAAAATACTGGCCAATGTAATACAATTATCTTGTGGCTATATGTATGAAACAGTTCCACTAGTATTTCTTTGTAATGATGCCAAACAGAAAATTCCTAGCAGATGACACCTTGAAATCTACCTTTGATACAATGTGTAATGGTTCTGACAATAGCTAAGGATTCAACTTAGTTCAAGAATACCAACCTTTTTTCCTATTACACTACATAAAGCTATGCTGTATGTATTTATAGTATCACACCAGGTACTCTCTACGTCACTGAACTTGCCATTAGCAAAAAAGTAGCAAAGGAAGCAAAAGAACTTTTGTGATAATCTTGCACTATTAAAACTCAGTACCTGACTCCTAGAAATGGTTTTGCCCCAAACAAATAAGAGGAAAAAGGTGAGTGCTTCATGCTCCTTCCGGTCTCTTCTAGTCTCATTACAGTAGCTAAAAAGAAAAGCAACAAGCCTGTGGGGCAGCACTTCTCTCTTCGATCCCTCTCAAGTCAGAGTTTTACATGGGTAAGGTATGCTTCTGCACTGAGAAGGCATACCCTCTTACTTCCTAAAATGTTTTGGAGTAAAGTCCACAAATTCTTTTCAAAAGTCTCCTGAGTTAAATTTGGGAACAAGACCGGTGCTCGTGAGTCACTATGGTATTATCAGTATTATACTTAAAATAACTAGGTAGAAATGTAAAAACACTTACCAGGACAAACCTTCTAAATGCATTTGTTTTGGTTTGCTTTTTCAAGCATAGTTTCAATACAAATTTTAATAAAATTCTGAAACGTGAATGCCACTGCACACACTTCTTGCCTTGAAGATTCAAGAAAAAAATGACCAAGGTATGTAGCAATGAAAGATGCACTCCTGGAAGATGCTCTGACATTACAGCAATGGGTGTGAACACGGAATACAAAGCAACATGTGCTACAATATCATTGCACAATATCACTACAAAACGTGCACTAATTTTGATTTGCTTTAAAACAAAACCCCAGTCATTACAGATAAGCCTATATTAAGTTTCTGGAACCACATTGGCCTCAGGAAAAAAAAACCAAAACTGTTCCAGCAAAAACAGATCATACAATTCATCCTCACCTACTGATTTCATATAGTTTTTTAGCTTCTAACAGTTCATTTAACGACAAAGTAGAGATCAGTAAAAGTCACACACAATTTAAAGTAGAACTATTATGCTTTAATGTGTGTTACTAAATGGACATAACATCTATCAGACTAAGCCCAAGTCTTGTCAACTGGAATGCTAAGGGCTACACTGACCTTTCACAATCAATTTGTAATATCCCACAGTTTTTTATTTCCTTTGTTCCAAAACAGAAGGCAGATCACCCAGCTCACACGCTTCATAAAACACAATTATCCACAATAATGGGAGGATGCTTGCTAGGCCAAAAAAGGTTGCCAACACTCGCAAGAGCTGAAGGATTTTGCACCTCCAAACCTACCTAACCCTGGACCACAGCAGAGCACCAATACCACCTTCCGCCAGTGGACAGGTGACAAACGCACGCTCAACTAATAAAACAAGATTACAATGTCCACACAATTCATGCCACTTGTGAACCATTCTTTCTGTTGTGTGAGAATATGCAGACAGAAAAAGGTATCTATTATCCATATGGGAAACTGAAGCTAATCCAGGAAGCTTGAAGTGGAGCCAAAAGCAGCAGTGTGCCAGCTGAATCTATAAGAGAGCTATGCAGAGGGACAGAACAAGTGACAGCTTGCTGAGTTATGGACATCTTAACTGCAGAAAAAACCTCAAAGCAGGTAAGAGCTACATAATGTAAAAGGCCAGGAAGTAGTTCTGCAATAAGGAAAACTGAGGGCAGTTGACAACATGACCCCCTGGTGCATGCACTACTTTGCATGAAAGGAACATGTGTGCAGTTCAACAGTCCTTAACTCACAGAAGGAGAGCATATCCCAATAGGAGACTCACACATGGAAAAAGACTTAGTATTTTTCTATTGATCACTTTCAGCCCTGTTAATTTTTCCCCAAAATCTGTTCTATATAAACAGCTCATTATAACTAGATCAAGAGAGATGGATAATAATGCTAGCTGTTGAAAAAGTTAATAGGCAATTATTTTAGAAAAATATTTTCCAAAATAGGTCTCCACATGAAGTTCTGGACAGACTTTTTTACTAAATAGTCAGCATTTCCTTTAAAATAAGCTGTATGTGTCATACTCATTTTCTGTTTTGAAATAATTTATGATTTTCCCTTTTGGGGAAACAAACCCTTTGATATTTTGATTTTCACTTTATTAAATGTAGATACAATCCATAATGCAAATGTTAACTATAAAAAAAACACTCAGACACATGCCCCATACAACCATAAATAACAATATGCCCTCAAGAATCATACAAGTTCTTGATTGTGAGATGTTAGTCATTGAACTGTGCATAAAAAAAAAAAGAAAAATGTAAAACTCATCCTGCAGCCCCATCTAGTGCATAATTGAGAATACTTCATCACTGGCAAGTATAAAACTGGTATTATTTTACATCATGACTTCCCAAAACATGGTCCATGAGGTTATGGCATGCATCCAGAAGTGGTATAGCAAAATTACCATATTTTCTATTTAACGTCTGCTAAGACAGCTGCATGGTAATTTGCATAAAATTTTAGAGCTTTGGGGTCAGAAAATGGTTCATTATCTATTTAAATGATTAAAAGCACGCACCATGACTCATGGTTCTATAAGATTGTTTTACCTTCTTTTTGACATAATATAACCCCTTGAAAAAGGCTGTTCCTTTCCAAGAGAGAGTGGAGCACATTAATTATCTAAAAAATGAAACAAGCAGAGCACAACTTTTAAGGACTTGGCTGTTAGCAAAGTAGTAAATACTGGTGGAGAACAAGGCTGGCCTCTTAGTCTCACACCAAAATCCAGTATGTTCCAAAACTCAGACTGACCAGAAAATGGTTCAGAAAATCAAAAGCTAATTTGTTTTCATAAGACACTTTAGAAATCATTTTTCTATGCAAGACAGACAGGAACAGAGCAATGAGTGACACATAGCCCATCATATTTTCTCATACTCCTGGTAAGCTGATCCCAAAAGCTGACTGCACCACCTTCTCTGCACGGGAAGTTTAAACCAAGACAAGGATGAGTGAGGGCAGCCAAAGCCCTATGACGCAGCAGGTTTGGGCTGCAGCATGTCCAGCAACGGCCATCGCTCCACCTCTCCTGTGGGCAAGCAGCAACAAGCTAGCACAGCTTGACCTCTTTCAAAAGCTAGGGCTGTGTTTGGATTTGGTCACAAAAAAAATTAGGAAGCTGAGGCAACAAAGATCTGTGTGTAAGCAAAACTGGCGTAAGAGAATCGAGGAATATAGGATGGATCTGTAGTTGATTCATAGTTCTGATATACTCAAAGATTCCCAATGCTATTTCCAGATTCAAATACCAATAAGAAAATTCGGAGGTTCCATTAAGAGGGATGTTTCTGGTTTTTAAAGAAGTATTACCTGTTTCATCAAAAGAGATGGGACAGATGGAAACAACCTGAAGGCTTGTGTTGTATAGGTCAAAATTCTCCTTTGAGAAGTAAAGTCTTACATTTGACAATTTTGTTCACTTTTCTTCCATCTAAAAGCCACTATTCAAAGGAAAACTTAATAGGATTTATAGTACACTGGAAGTATCATGATAATGCATTAAAGAGCTGGTGTAAAGACTAAGTCTAGCCAGACTACTTATTTTCAACCAATAATATATTTTCTAATGCTCAGAAAAATAGTAAGGAAGAGTATCTTCAGGCTGAAAGCCTAAAGCCTAAGTAAGCTTAGGTGATGGTTAGATTTTTGTTGTCTGAAGTCCAGTAAAATCAGTCCAAGAACAGGAAGAGTTTTTGTAACCTCAATGAAAACGTTCAATCTACTCTAAATAAATCACAAAAGGTATAGAGGAAAAAAAAAGGGTTTTGTTTGAAAAGAACCAACATACAGTAAATACATTTCTTCACCTTCATTATAATTCTGAGGTTGAAAATTATATGCAGGTGCAGGGAAACTGTGAGGCTCTGTACTAGGTAATCTCAAAAAATCTTTTTGGTTTTAGTTACAGACAGCAGTTGATAGACATGACATTTATGCATCTAAGATCTCTTAAGGCCCAAACAAACCTGGTATCTAAAATTAAAAATGTAAGTGGGATGTATTCAGATTGCACTTTCGCACACTCTGTTGGTTGGACATTCCACCGCTACTTTCATTTGCTGTTCTTTTCTCCCATTTTCTTTCCTTCTTCCTCTATTCACTCTCGTCCTCAAGCCCATCAATGCAGAGGTAGGCCACACTACTCAGAATTTCCATGCACAGTACTTCCAGTAGCATCTTCTTGCCACTTCTTGTGTTTTACAATTTCATCAAAAGATCAAAACTTAAGTTTGATTTCAGTGTAAATATAGCTCCAATAATTTCTCAAAACCTAGAGGAAAATCTATAGATTTTCCACTTCAATTTGCCCTCATCCTTTAAGAGGATATTATTTCACGTATTCTACATATGAAACTCAGAAAACCCAGTTCAGAATACTATAACTGCAAAAATGTAAAGCCTGGTTACGTACTTAAAAACTGCTTTTCCATCTCCTGAGAAGATTAGTGGACAAAATTCCTGCTGATATTGGTACATTAACAAGCCTGAAATTCAGTCTATGTCTGTTATATACAGTGCACTAGAGAGATATCGATGCCACCTCTGAACAAATTACAGTTATATTGCATTGTGTTTCCCCTAAAAGCCTTGCGAACTGCCATTTTAATTATTAATTAAGGCCATAACATATTTTAGTGAATGTTCAAATATCAGGAAATTCAGAGTACCTTTTCCCAGTCCCCAGTTTCTTGATGCTTTGTAGAAGAAATGTATGTTCTGTGTTACTTCTTCATGGAAATAATTACTAATCTTTCTGGTCTTTGACTCATGGCCTATTATCTCAATATTCAGTTCTTGACTTCACTGAAATGCCGGTTCACCACTGCTTCAATAATGCAGTCATACTACAGTTGATTTGTCACGCAGGGCACACAATTATTATTTCAAGAGATGGACTCACAAAGTTTTGAAGCTATGTAATAGCCTTGTGCCATTTTCATTGACACAGTGCCTAAGCAGTCATCAAATACAGATGAAGAAAATTTCCTTCATTTATTTTTACAGGCTCAGCTATACAATTAAGTTGCCACTGATGAACCCCAGACATAGGCTTACAATGCCCTACCTGTTCTGCAGTAAGTTACTCTTCAAAGACTGTAAGATATACTGCATTGCTCTAAATTATCTGCTAAATGAAGAACCAAGTGCAAATACAAACCTGCACTGTGACAGCCTAAATCTACTCCATTATCTTTATGCTCCTAGTATGTCCTTCTCCATCCACTGACTCTTCTGTATAGATACACAGAGCCCCTCTACCATCCAGCATGCAGAAAGGTCATCCCTAACACAAGTCAGGACAGTAGGATCCCAGTTTTCAGCAGAATGCAGAATACAAAACACTAAGACCAGGTTTTGCCACTATTCTGATGCCTTATGGAAGATGACTAAGGTTCAGTTTCAACAACATAAGTGAATCAAGAACCTTACGAATAAATGCAGCCTTTCTTTCAATTTACAACTATATGTAAAACTAATTCCAAGTACAGTACTACATTATCATAGTGCATATTCTGCATTGAAAACATCAGCCTCGGAGATAATACGTAACTGAAATAAGAAATCAATCCACAACTCCAGATGCAGCAGCACACATGAAGCTTCATTTAAGACAATCTCAGCATTTTTTACATGCAACTTGACATGGGACATTTAATTCCTTCAGTCTGCCACTGAGACATACTTTGGTGGCCATAATTACAAATCTAGCAAAAGTTGGTATGGTAACTTTTGACAGTCTGGAAAGTATCACAGTGCTCAAAGCTAACACATTTCTGATAGGTCTCACTAGGATACAAAACAAAAACATCATACCAGTAGTCATAACTCTCATCCCAGTTGTCAAAATGAACCAGAAAACGATTGTCCACCATGTCTGTTACCGTAGCAACACAAATGAAAGTCGGGTTCTTCTTGTCTACAGCTTCCAGCTTCATCCCCACTCGAAATCCCGATGGGATCACTGTCTACATGGAGAAAGACATTTAACTGAAGATAAATACTATAAATCCAGAAATCTCCCCAGTGTCCACAATCAATATATTCATGTCATTTCTAAGTTTCCCAATTAGCTGTTCCAACAGTGGCAGCAACCTAATTAGTTGACATGAGAGATGCTCAAACACAAAGACCTGCGGTTTATGAAAACAAAAGTCCTGAACGTGCTGCTAAAATTAAATGCATTAGTTTTAACTCTGCCTTAGATACTCTCTCTGAAAGACCATGGTTGTTGCACAACACTATGGTGCAAGACTAATCTTAAATTTAATTTAAGATATTGTTTTAGAATGTACTGGAAGTTTAAACGGATAAGTCAAAAAGTAATGAATCAGAATTGCAGAGGTCAGCTGTAGTGGAGATTGTTATTGAATTTGTTGTAGATGTTTTTCTTAAATTTCAGGTCTCAAGTCTGCCATCACTGAAATGTGCTATGAGTCTCTACCAGACACATGAGCAAACCAGGAACTTTCCACACCTTAGTTACAAGTGAGTACTTACTGCATTCTGGTTTTCAAACAGTGATTTAGGAGCAGCTTGAGCCTTGCATGCCTTCAGGTAGGAGGGCCAGCTGAATTCTTCTTCCTTATATCCTTCATGAAGGTCATAAAAGAAGGACAAGAAATGACAGGTATGAGACACTAGGTGCATGTATCAGTAAGACATCAATTTTTTACTACAGTCTTCTTCCCTTTGAACAAACATCTCCAAGCAGCACAGGCTACAAGCCACCTCTTTGTCTCCCCCCAAGAAAACTGCACCTTACCACTTACCTGCCTTGCAGGTACCAACTAACTTCCCTTTGGTGATCTGACTGACACACACAAAGGCATTTCCCAGCTTCTTTTCAGTCTGTTGCTTCTACTTCAGAAACAGCAAAAGACCTACAGATCCCAAAGCCCTCTCCTCTATGCCAGTCAGTCCAATAAAAACACCACCTCCTCCTCCAGACTTCACCCTACAACATCCTCAGGCTATCACCAATACAGCGCGATCAGTACTAGCTTTAATACAAACCCCCTAGGTTATATCAAAACAGTTGCTTACACAATCAATGTTCCTTATGTATTCACAGTATAAACTGTCCTCTGCATAGACTTCATGCATTTTTTATTCTGTGTATACAGCACTTGGAAAGAAATCTAAGTTTCTGTTGATGGAATGCCTCTTTTAGTTTCTTAGGGGAAAAAAACCACAAGCAATTCATAATATATTGATCTGCATAAAATAATCTACAAGAAACCATTTGTAGTTCTAATCCACAAAACAATGCCAAGAGTCGGAAGCAAACAGACTCCCTTCTTCATTCTTCTGTTACGAAAAAGTTAAAGAAACATCTACTTTAGTCAATATGTTACAATCCAGTAAAGCAAGATCAAAACCACAACAAATTTCAGTGACTGACTGCCTTTACCAAAATGTGTCACCTCTTGACTATTTGAAGTATTACTCAAATATGCCAGAGACAACTGCTCTATTTAACCTGAGAATCTCGTATTACCCGAGGAACCATCTGCCACTCTTACCTTTTTTTCTCACTACTGATCTATTCATTCCTCTTTTTGTCTTTATTTCAAACTTACTCTTTGTGGAAAGAGCAGTCTTTATTAGTCTGTGCCAACACATGTACAGTAATGGTGATCAATATCCAATAACAAAAATGTGCTAAGACCTTCCACTAAAGGATTCTCAGTTGCTTGTGAGACCTCAGTTTAAGCATATGTGTCACCAATATGCTGCAATTTTTATTTGCAATAAGCATTCATTTGGGGTCTAGGTTTGTTGCTCAATTTTTTTTCCTAATGCTTTATAAATTACTCTTATGGTGCATTTTGTTTTCTCGGTTTCTCTGAATTTCCATTGAACAAAAAAGGTAGGATTTTGACCTTGGAATTTTAGGTAAGACTTAGTGTTTAATTTGCCATTTTCAAATACTCTTGACTAAATAAACCATAACATTCCTGCCCCCCCAAAATTACAGCATTACACAGGTAGTCTCGATCTCAGAACTGTGTAAAACTAAACAATACCTTTAGGTGGATGAAGCTTGTGACCTGTTTTTTCACACCATCCAACAGGATGAATATCTGACGAATCAGCGTTCACCCAGAAATCGTAACAATCTGGGTATCCATCAAAATGGAGTCGTATTCTGTAGCCACAAACCTAAATGCAAGAATTGAAAACATAAGACACTATGTTTTAACATGGTCGCCCTACATATAACAGCTTCTGTTCAATATTATGTATAATCACTGTGTGTTTTCAGTCAGCTTTTTACTTCTGCTCAATCCAGCACTGGATTGGAATAAATTCAGTTGATAAAAAGGAAAGAATGAAAAGACAAAGCTATTCTCAGTCTGAGTGCATCCTCTTCTGGTCAAAAGAATTAACTAAAAGCCATTAGTGTTCAAAAACTTGAAAATGGTTCAACCCAGCATTAGAGTAAAAGATAAACCCCACAGAAGAGCATGATACAGCCATGGACAAACTGTAGATAACGACATTCTAAAGCTATCACGATTAACCAATATACAAGGGAGCACTGAACAATAACAGTGTTTGAGAGGTTCTCCAGAGAGATACTGAAAACTGTAACTAAAGATGAGAAGTCAGTGGAGGTACCCCTCAGAACTTTATTATTCCATGAAGTAGTAAGTCAACTACTGAGAGGAAGAGAAAAACAGGACACAATACTCTCTCTGTACAAAAGTTCTCTACATCTGCCTGAGTGCCAAATGCCATAAATTTACTGCAGTCATCAGTGAAAATCTCTTGACATTAAGGTCATCCTATCTTATATTTAATTTGTATTCTGACATAACTTTCAGTTTGCCATCTCATAATTCTGTGGAATTCAAGTGGAATTCAGGCAATCCTACTGTAAAACATGACCCATCACCTAGTGCTGAGCACAGGGTATGTAGGGAACACTCAATCACTGACACACCATCTGCAAGAAAATGAAAGAGATATCCACAGAAATGGGATACGACTACAGGCCATGAAGAGATCCCGAAACAGGAACACAAAAGCCTAGACTATTAAAATATAAACTGCAAAATTACAGCTGCCTAGAATAACAGTGATACAGAGCAAAGTACCTACCTGTTTTCTGTTTCCCCATTTTAATTCACAAAACAAATCCAGAAACTCAGTAAAACTATGTAAAAAACTAAAGTAAGGTATGTTTGAAAGATATACAAAATGTACCTGAGAAACAGGTTCTCTATCAAAAGTAAAGAAGTTATTTATTAGAAAAACTATTTCATAAACCACAGCAAAAAGAAAAACTGAGTTTGTATTTTATGTTAATTTGCATAGGTTACCAATATAGGCAATTTTTGAAGCCATCAGTCTGAAAAAGTTGTAGCACAACAGCAACACAAGAAATTATTTATTTGTGTCAGTGAATGGACCAACTGTAAACACTATCAAACTTCTATAAAACTGCTATATATCAGTTGTCATACTTAGGGGGGGGTTAATTTATTTTCCCTTTTAAATACAGATTTAAACTACAGGATTACAGATAAACCCACACATCATCCAACTAGTCTAATACTGTTTTCTCTAGCTGTCTATGTTAAACATATGTAAATAGTCACTGCTGCATTGGCACTGGATTCTGCATATTCTTTGTAAGTCTGTCAGGCAGAATTAATACAGCATTATTAATTTAAAAGCCATCTTCCCACATACAGTTTTTCTTAGGTAAGAGTCACCGTTTTCATTTCTGTCTCTTCTGTAATCCTGCTCCATAGCAGTTTGCAACCTCTACTTACCTCAGCCACTGTGAGAACACAGTATATCGACTGGTGCTCGGGATCCACGCCCTCCAGCTTCATCCCTACTTTGAATCCATTTTTGTTGTATGGGAAAGACTGATACTGCAACGGAAAAGAACAGTTTCAGTACTTCTGAAAGAACCAGAGAAAGAATATCTTCATAAGGAACAGAACAATGATTATTTATTATTCATGTTTCCGAGTGAACTAATAAATCACTTAAAGTTTTGCATTTTCAAAAACGCAGAGTGGAAAAGAGAAATTGATGACTGTTTGAAAAACACATTGATACTAGAATGACTTGAAACTTGAGAATATGTAAGAAAATTAGAATCAGCAAAAGAGCTAGTCAAGAGAAAGATGATGACATGATTTGTCTTCAGTTTTTTTCATTAATTGTCAATAAAAGCTTTTAACAATTTAATTTTTTATTTTTCAGCCTGTACAGTGACACTGACCCCTTCCTGGTAGACATCATTCCTATAATAATCACAACAATGATGCTGTATTGCCTTTTCCACATTTCAGGCCACGAAAGATGAACTGAAAGGCAGAAATATGAAACATTGTATACAGAGATGGCCTATTTGATGTCCTTTATATGTTGAATACAGACTAGTTTTCCAGGAGTATTTCTGCATCATAGGAACATGACTACCCTTACATCGTATTACAGAGAACCCAGTAGAACATCTTACAAAAAACAGAAAGTGAAAACAAGGCTAAAAATTGATGTTTTCAATCAGAAAAAAATGACCAAAACTGAAGACAGTTTTCCACAGGTTTGCAAATTCACAGCCAGACAGTTTTTATGTCTCAAATGGTTACAGAAAAAAACACAGGAGAAGCATCCTAAATGTTCCCCCTTCCTTCTGTTCCTGCCTAAAAGCTACACATTCTCCCCAGTCGACTGCAGTATCTCTTCAGTTAATGGGAAGAGAAGGATAGATACCAAGGGAGGTAGTCAGAGGTATCACCTACTTGGAAGGAAGGGAAACCTCAGTTTGGTGGCTTTGGGTGCAACTGATACAATCGAATAATAAACCCAGGGGAAAAAAAAAATGCAGTGCATGGAACAAGAGCAGGAATATGCAGTCAAGGGGAAGGGAAATGGAGAACCAAACCAGTTTAAACTGGCCTGCAGTGGCCAGTTAATAGATGTTTAACCACAGCTCTAAGTCCCTGTCTAAAAGCAGCTTAGAACATCTGGTAGACCAGAGTTAAGGGATTAGAGTACCTGTCTGCAGTACATGCATTTGAAAAGTTATTTCATCCTAACATCACCACACTTAATATTTTTATTATCAATGAAAGTTTAATGAAGTTACATTATGCATAATTCTAGATACTTCCTCAAAAGGAAGGTATCAACAGGAGAATTTTTCTTAAAAATAATAAACTGACATAATAAATCCAACACAGTCCATATTGTTGCACAGACTTCCAGCTAATGACATCTACATAGTAAATAGTTTACAGATAAAAAAATGTCAGTGGAAAACTGAAATGCTAGAAATATTGACACACTGAGGAATAGTGCTCAAAAATATAATGGAAAGTTTTCAAAAGCAAGCGCAAGTAAAATTACAGAGAGAGGAAACAATTAAAAAGTCACATCTATTATTTCACTTTTATAATAAACATTACTGTACAAACTGTATAAAATTCTGCAAAAAATACACTAAAAATTAAGCAATTAAACACATGTATTTCCTGAAATTTAAGATATGAATTATTTCCTATTCTTCCTATTGCCAAATCTATAACTTCTAGTTTGGTTTCTGTTACAGCCAAATTAACAGGCAACTTTTAGAAGACTAATAACCTTAATACTATTTAACAGATTTCAATTTTTTGCACAATTCTCAATACGTCACCAAAAGTAAAGCTACGATAAACTTAATAATCACACATTATTTTTACAACAAACATTTAAAGATATTTTGTTCAGGAGGGATACAAAAAGCAAGTAAGATGAAAGGTTAAAGTCAACAAATGAGCAGATGGCACACTGAGGAACAGAAGGGTCAATAATTTTGTTTTAATGGCGTAACCACAGTTTGTCAGACACAGCTTAGAAATTACTCTAAGTACCAGGAAGTGGCAGGGACTCTCCATCATCCTGACCATTTCTAACTAAGGTTACGAAAAACACAGCGAAAAGTACCACTTCTGAACTGGAAAAACAAAAAGAAAAAAAAGAGTAATTCTCACAATGAACACAGAAATAAAAGGATTCAAAATCATTTGGTTTGGGTTTTTTTAACATTTCTGTACCTGTGGCTTGCTTGTTCATCTCTAAAATAGAGAAATATTTCCAGACCACTTCTGGGTGTTGTTAAGAACTCTCTTTCTGCTACAGGCTTTAAATACCGCACACTAAATCAAATCCTTGCATTACTCAGGGGCTAAAGACTTTGAAAGGAAATACTAAATAAGATGCACTGAACGAGAAAGGTACATGGTGGAGAAAAGTACAGGAGACATTGTGTAACTCCAGACTTTATCACCATGTGCAGTGCCCTGAAAGGCTGGTGGTATATATGTCTGCATGTTGCTATAGCATTTCATGAACTTCAGACAGGCAGAGCAATGGTTTATAAATGTACCTTCATTATTTGTTCTCTTGTTAATTTTCAAACCAGTACATAGCACAAGGGGATACAACCAAGGATGGTTAGGGAACTGTTGCTCTCGCACATACAAATCTATGGGTTCTGTACAATGCAATCCTAGTTCTTCACTTTTCGAACACGGTAACATCTAAAAATGCCAATTAAAGGTCAGCATCACATGCATATGAAAGCTGAAAAGCTAATTCCCAAACAAAAGATTTAACAGTTAGAGTATGAAGCCTACAGAAAGAAATGGATGCAAGAAACAGACTACAAGTAAGAACAGAATTATCAAAAAAACCAACACATAGCAGCAGTACAGTAGCTGAGACACATTCACATTTCCCCCGGTTTTGTAAGAGAAGATAATAGCATGGAAACTTTGTGGATTTGCACACAGAGCTCTCTTCCAAGTAAGAGAGACAGCAATAGCAAAAGCACTGAAATGACAAATGAGAAAGACTACCATAGCAGGCAAAGGACAAGCAAGAGATGATGATGTGACATCCAATCAGATGGCAGGCAAAACGGGAACAAGACAAACTAACATCTGCTGTAGTAACAAAATATAATGTCAGCAGGAGCTGCAAAAAAGACAGGTAATGTAATTGAAGCAACAAGCCAAAAGATGATCTTTATACCAGCTTTCTAAATATATTTAAAGAACATTATATGGTATGAAAAAGTGTGGGTATGCATCAGATTTTTAGCTTTAGAGATTAGAAGGAAAGGCTAGCACTTGCAGATTTTGGAAAAGCATCTCCTTTCCACAGTCTGATTTGACAGCATTCACCTACAACAACAGAATTCTCTGAAAAAGAAGAGAAAGATAACTACTTTCATATTTCCCACTCTCTTGATGATTGCTGATGGACAGCACTACTTTATCATGTGGGTTTTCCTCCACAGAAATGTAAAATCTTCAAATTATTTTTGTTTATTGATTTCCTAGAAATTTTACAATCTTAGTTGGTCGACTGACTTAAACTTCAGAAGGTCATACCTCTTTAAAAAGCTTAGTAGGTACTGCAATGGCCCTTTCTTCCTCCAGATAGGATGCCCAACACCATGCTTGCCTTCCTTTAGAGGGTACAGCTGTAAAGAAGCACACAACAGTGAAATAATTCTGTAACTGTTAATGTCTCAAGAAAAAAAAACCACAACACTTTGAAGTATCAAATCTACATTTTATTAAATGCACTCATGGTGTTGCTCAGGACTTATTTGAGAAAAAGAAGTAGCTCTGCAAGTTTAAAGGCATGATGAACACGAAGGTTCCTGGTTTGTCCAGAAATGTTTCCAGCAGTTCAAACCTTGATTAGTAACAAGAAAAAGCACCTGCAGGTGACAAGTAAAACTTACCAAGTCCAGCCTCAACTCCTTTTCATTACTGATATTAAGAAGTACTAGTGTATACAATTTACAGATGTGTGAAAAGATCGGTTCAAATCACAAAATATCTCAATATTTTAATTTTTTTTCCCCAAGAATTTCTTTTACTGGAAAGCTTTTTCAACTGGATAGCACGCATAACATGTTTTTTTTATCACAGTTGAAACACCCTGTTCTTTAACAGTACTGACAATGTTTCTAACCTACTCCATCACTTTGTAGTTCAATGTTTTTGGGTGGAGAGGCAGTTCCAAGCCATCAGAACTGCCACCACTGCTTTTTCCCCCCATCATGTAATTAGCACATGACAGAAACCTCCAGTTTCAGGTTTGCTCATATAGTGTGAACACTTGCATACGCTTGCACAGTAATTGTAATATTGCCTACAGTCCAGCCTAATATTGGCTACAGTCACATCAGTGAGTAACAGTTTTCAGGCCTTGAAAATAAGGCACTAACTGCACCAGCAATAGCGAGGAACTTCAAAAACAGATGGCCTGTGAGGCTGGCCATGTATGTATCTATGTTCATACACTTCCACTCTGCTTTACTGATCTTCACCTAAAATGCCTCCTCTGCATATGCAGCTTAGCATTTCAGACCATAAGCTCACGCTGCCAGTAGGATTCATCACAGTTCACACTATGATTCTGGCTTGATCCAGATTGTAGGCTACTCATGAGAGAAATAAATCCCTTAAGTAACAGTCTGGTTAAGCATTTTTATTATTAAAACATGAACCATAACAATAGTGATGCCAAACTCTTCAGAAGAAAGCTTATAACATAACCAAAAGAGAAGAAATTTCAGAACGACAGCAATCGCTCAACACTATTAGAGCACATTCATCTTATTTGGGATTTACCCAGTTTTTATCTATTCTATGTAAGAGATTAGTGGCTCAGCACAATAGCACAGTTTCATAGTTGGTTCTGAATACAAATTGGTCTTTTTTACCATCTCTTGTGCTGAACTGGTATTTTCCCAAATAGAAATAAAAAAACCTGAACACAACAGAAGAAATCTGTACAGATCATTCTGTCAGTGAACAGCAGTGATTTCCACAGAGCATCAGCTCTGTGCTTGTGTCTCACACACTTCTTATCTCTTCAGCTTTGAAAACAACTGTAGAAATAACATTTCAAGAGTGATTCTACCTTGGGAGGGGGATTTTCCATAACTTTTATTGTTGCATCTTCAATCAGTATTTCATCTGCCTAGTGTGCATCAGAGCTACTTGAAGCTCTGTTGATTAGTGGCCCGGCAACTTCTGTGAATATCTCCCCTCTACCATAAGAAACACTCTGGAGGGCAAGATGTCAGTTTGTGGTTAGTGTACCACTGAGGTATCATAGCAGCTCATTCTCCAGTTTTTCCTAAAACTATCTGTCATACAATTAGCTTGAAAAAACAGCACTAATTTAAAATATGTTTTATTATGCTGGTTGATGCAGTGTATGTCTCTTTGGACTGATTATAGCAATTATTCCTAAACAGTTCCACAAATGTGTCTATTTCCAGCACATACTGAAGATGCAAAACTGATCCCCAAGGAAACAAAAGTAAACTTCCACTTCTGCTTGATACATGTCTTTCAACATCTGGAAACTCAATGGGGCTGATTTCCTTTAATACTGTCACCCTCTAGAGGGATGAAAAAACCAAACCTAAAATGTACATCAACTGCACTTACACTTATTATATCCTTCTCAGTGCTGTCTTAAAATTTAATTGCCATAAATAACACACTGGCACTCTCTTTTTACAGAACTGAAAAAAAAGTATTAAATAGGGAATATAAATTCAGTGAAACAATGCTGGTAATTGACAATAAGAGATAAGTATTACCTAAAGAATTGATAATTTTTGTTTCATAATCTAACTTACTTTGTTTCAAAACTGTTATTTCCCCTTTTCTTTTTCTCCTGGCTCTCTGTGAGACTCTCAAGATCCTTCCTTCAGGTTTGTCCTCCTAAATTAGGAAAAAAAAAAAAAATAGTACAGTAACTTCATTAGTTTAGAAGGCTAGGTACAATAAAAGTTGAGACACCAAAGGTTAAACTGTGATTTCATTTAAATGGCTACTGACCTAGCTCCCCCCCACCTCAAACAAACCTGCAGATGTCTAATCAAAGCTAGTGAGCCATCAGTGACAAACCACAGCGAACACAGTGAGTATGACAGACAGAAGGACTCTCAGCACCCACCACTCAGCCAGTCAGCCTTGCCCGACCCAGGGACAGATCATGAAGCCTTCAGCAGGCCTCACTGAGACACTGATAAATAACAGTATCTTCAATATGTTTATGCTTCCAAAATAATTGAAAGGAAAACCTCTCACGCTTTAGCCCATTCTTTTTTCAACTGTACAATTGCTTTATTAAATGTAAAAAGGATCAATCCATTTTATTTAATTCACTGTTTGTGTATTAACAGTTTTGCAAGCACCCAAACAGATGAATGGAGTAAGTACTCATTTGGGAGGGCAGATGCATGGAGGCAAAAAAGGTGTCCCCTGACTTTTGCCTAATATACTGCTATACAGGGATCTGCAAATTCCTTTCTGAAAACTCTAGTGTCTTCAGCCTTTTGACAATCTGGCGGATAAAGAACTCTTCCCTTCTCCCTCAAAACTGTGCTCCTTCCAGTAGTGTTACAGCTATTCGGAAGAAAACAAATATTACAGGGAAAAAAAAACATTACAGGAAGGTACTGTGGTAAGTTTTTTCTAAAATGAAGAACAAATCCCAAAGGAAAAAAAAATATGCCCCGAAGCACATTACACTCCAACACAAGAGAAAACCAAATATTTGGCTGTGATTTTCTAAGGCAAATTACACTAAGAAAATCCAAAGTATTCCCTTCTTAACTGTAATGTAGCTTTCTTTGCAAAATAAATTTTTAGTCTGTAGTTATTTATTCATGTGCAGAGTGACAAAGTAACAAGTGTTGAGAAATATGTACTCCTGTTTTTCCATGCTGAAGACACGGCAAGTCTAGGTTAGCATAATTTTTCCTTTAAATTCTTTTTGTTATATTCTTAAAAAAGCAGGGAAAAGAGATAATATCTCTTATCAGTTCATTGTCAACAATTACAATTTATTGGTGAGACATAATTAAATTGGTAAATGAACCAACTACTTATTGTGGCTCTGAAATAGAGATGCAGTCACTTCTTTTTGTAGACTGATGAAGTTACTGACATTGCAATATAAGGCAAAACTTCCACCAAAATACTTGCAGGAATGGGTTTATTACACATACTAACAATTTCATCGGGATTCTCTTTCTTCTCTCCATTATCCCGGGACTCTTCTTTGAGAGGTAACTTTGATTTTCTCTTCCGAATGCCTTTAGAATCATCTTCCCCATTGCATTCCATGCTGAGATTTTCCTCCTTTGGTTCTCTATTACAATAGTAACACAATGACACAAAGCTAATATTATTCCACTTCTAATATTCATAAATCAAGTAAAAAGCAAGTAAATCTGAAGGTCAAGTATTTGTGGGTCTCATGGTATTATACCAAATATATTCTTAGAAATCCTACTGAAAATTACATCTGTCAAAAGAATTAATCTGAAAGACACACAATAGCAACTGCAAAAAGAAAGCTGACAGCTTATGCTGAACAAGTTCTGCATGTTTTAAACAGCGTGTCTTTTCCCATGTATCATCAAATCTCCCAGAGAAGCAAACTGTGAAATGTTTAGGACTGTAGGGCAGTTTACAGAGAGGAAAGGAAAGGTAATTGTTAAGACTGACAAATCCAATTGGAGAAAGCTGGTATGTGACTGTACAAATTGCTAAACAAGGAATCAGGACAGAAAACTTTGAAGCAATTAGCTAAAAATGAAGGAAAGTGCAGAAAATCACACATGTGAAAATCACACCTGCCATAATGTAGCAATATGCAATAGAGAATGGACATACTAACACAAACACGTTTTTATGATGAGATGAACTGCATTAGCTGAAAAAAAAAAAAGGAACTGAGAAACTACAGTATGCTCATGTTTTCACTCACTGTCATCTATAACACAGCTCTTGCACTTAATTATCATAGTTAACTTACCACCCCAACTATCTCTTTACTGATTAGCTTAATTCTGATGACTATGAAACAAGGTGGGAGTCTGACATTGATTCATGCATCTGATAGACTGTTTCACTGTTTGCATCTCACAGCAGAACATAGCACATCAAGCAAAAAAGACTGCCTTCAACATCAGTGTTAGACAAACCAAATGTCGTTAAGGTATTTACACGAAAAACAGTGAAAGAACATTTTAAACTAATGAAGACACCAAAAACAGCTACTTAATACCTCCCTTTGCCCACCACTTTTATATTATGTCAAATTCTTTGTTTCTATGCTTTATTTTAGCACCTACTTGTTTTTTACTTGCTGGGCACATTTCTGGCTGCAAAATTTCCCTTCAGGAACAAATTCTTCTAAGGTACCATAGCGGTAACAGTTTTCACAGAAAACAAGTCCATCCACTTTTGCAGTTTCCTTCAACCTTGTGGGGATCCCTGTCTTTTCTGAAAAGGCTGCACAATGACAAAAGTTAACTTCACTTAGGTAGAGGTGATACATTTCCAACCATCCTCTGCAGGCCATGCCAAGCAAACAGAAAAACGCCAGCCACACCACTCTTGTCAGAATGAAGAATTAGGAGTCAGTGTTTGTATGGAGTCCATATTACTGACAAGCAAGTTGGGTTTTCATATTGCAACATGAGAGAGGAATCCACTGATATGATTCTGTTACAGTGGCACACTGACACTGCTTCATGCGGCTACTCGTGGAAGGACTGCCGACAGTCATCACTGCTCAGAGTCCATGACCTCATCTCCTGCTGATGTGCCTCATTTTTGACCTATACTTGGGTAAAAAGGGTTGGGGGGAGTTATCTTTCATTAGGTGAACTTATTTCTGAAAGCAAATCACTGACTACACTCTAGTCTCTCGTAGTACTAGCTATTGCTCAACCTGCCTGAGGCCTACCAGAAGTGAAAAATCACTAAACTTGTAACAAAGCAATCTTCAAATACTAAGTAACTCGCTCATCCTAAGCTACAATTTCCTCACAACAGAAATGTAGCCTAGGAAAGGATGCAGGTTTTTTTCCCCTCACAAGCAGGTATGAAGCACTGTGTCAAGTACTCCGGCTTCTAGAGCAGGTCATGGTCTTTGCGCTTCCCCAAAAGACAAATTTCAATCACAAACTACTTATTTTGCTTAAGCACTTTACTGCCTTTGAAAGCAGAGTCAAATGAACACTTGAATACAGAATATCTCCCCTAGAAGAATATATAATATACGTGTTATATTTACACACCAGCATCATTAGTGGTTCAAAACAACTATTTCCTCTCACAACGGAAAATTTTAGCAATATTTTTATTTTTGGGGAGCACTAAACTAATCAATGTAAGGTAGAAGCACAATGCTTATTTGGTATACTTACATGTCCATAAACACACCTTAATTTAGTAGAAACACTATTTTTTGTTAGGTTTGTAAGGGATGCAGTTGCCTGCTTTACCGTAGGTAACTGTGATCTCAGTCTCAGGAGAGAATCTGTTGTGCTACTACACTATCACAATGTTGCTACTCTCACTGTAGATCTGAAACTTGAATAACTATCACTGCCTTGGATACAGACCTACAGAACATATTTGCTGTGGCCTGAAGATTCAGACCTCACGACAGAGGGGGGTCAAACTACTTTCCCACTGGTGTAAATGATTCACCTACTCACAAAAGTCACGTGACAATTATGATTTAATGGTGAGGGAGTAGCAAAGGAAAGCTTTCACTGACTTCACTTCTCACGCTTATAGTAATGATTATTAAACAAAAATTGTGAAGTCTGCTTTTCAAAGGACTTACAGAATGTGTATTTTAAAAGAAAACTGTTAAAATGCAGTATCAACAGGGAAAAAAAACTAGGTAGTTGTAAGTAATCGCAAAACCAATTGTGATATTTTCATTCATGCTGCTCCATAATTACTGGAGTTAGTGTAACAAGATTGCTATAATTTATGATCATGTAAACCAACTTTCCTTGAACAGAACAGGTGTTTCCTTCACCAGTATTTTAAATCCAGGAAACACCTTATTTGGTAGACAGGTACTAAAATTATTAGAATTTTACCATTCAAGATAAAACACAAACTGTTACTACAGTAACAGTTTTTAATACTGTAAAAAAGCACAGTCAGCAGCAGCAAGGCAACTGTGCAGATACACACTGCACATCTAACACTGACATAGGTGGTAGCAGTTGAGCAGCAGCCAATATCATGTGAAGGCAGTTTGCAGTGCACAGTACTTTGGTCACAAATGAACTCTAGTAAAGTCTGTGGGCAGTCTGGAGAACCAGCTCAACAAAAATTACTTCCAAAAAATTCTCAATAATTTAAAGAAATTTACTATTTTGCTAATTAAATAGAGGGAAAATATGGATTTTAAATTTAGAAAAAGTTACCATTAGGAGAAACTGTGGCTGTAATTGAACTTCAGATGTTTAACAGTGGAATTATTTCCTTTTAACTTAAAATGCGTTCACATGCCAAGAAACAGGTAACATCACCAGAGATACTCTGTCCATTAAAGCAAGTAAGTTGGTTTTTTTTATTGGAGGGGGAAAGCTTTAAGAAAAGCTAATATATTAAAGAAAGTACGGTCTACCACAGAAAATGTTTACTGCCTCTTAACTGACCTTCTTGAGCAGTTGGAACCATCCAGGTTGTGGTAGCAGTTGCCTTTTTAACACTTTCCATTTCAGTTTCATCTGTAATCACTTCCAGGGCCCCAAATTCATTGACTCTAAACTGTAAGATAAAACAAATGGCATAGAGCACAGCAAAAATTTACTAAAAGTCTCTTGGAGTGTCTGCTTCCATTCACCAATATAGTTTTTACATGGTGTCCTCAACATATTGCCTATTTTCTATGTGTTTCTACTTATCCCCATGGAATTTGAAACAAGCCATTCTTGTTTCTTTCAAGCACAATGCAATTTCAGTACCTAAAAATATTTATTTGCAATAGATACTGATAGAGATGCCTTCACATACAGATAGATATCTATCTTACACACAAAAATCAAAAAATCAGCAACACAAATTCATGGGAACATCCCCTAACTGTATGCTTTTTATTACCAGCAAAATGCACTTCAGACACTGAGTATTTTTTCTGAGGAAAAGGGAACTGAACATCATATACCGAATGCTTCAGAGCACAGAAATTTCAGCATCCTCCAAAAACACAGTACTTCTCCACTATAAATTGCACGTAAACAAACATCTCAAGGCAGTTTATGAGCTGTTTAATTACATGCTGAATGTGATATTACTGTAAGCCGGAAGCAAGGCTCAACAATACCCCTCATGCTGTGCTTACACTGGAGCACCAGGAGTTATAAGCCATCCTGCTGCCAGAAGAAAAGTTTCTTCCCAGTGTAGTAGTGATTACAGCACTACCACATGAAAATAACTTCAGCTTCCTAATCACTATGTGGTTTGCAGGCCCAGCTGGTTACATGGGTTCAACTCAAGGCAGTGTTTTGTCCCTGGTCCTTTGCTCTGAACAGCAAAGAGCTGTCTTTGCCACAGAACAGGTCTGTATCAGTAACGTACTCTCACCAACAGTTTTCAACAGGGAAAATGATGTCTGAGAGGGCTTTCAAAGCTCCGCAGCACACACTGAAGAGAATACTCCTTCAAGTCAGTGGCATGAAGCCTATTTTTCCCTGGTCAGGCAACTTTACCTTGGGAAAATGAGAAGGGGAACAACTGCCTGGCTCAACACTGACCCTCTCCATGCCTGCAGAGGCTGTTGAATGAATCACTCCCACTCACTTTGGACCCCACTATGGTACAGTACTGAAAATAAGCTGTTCTGGCTGAAAGCAAAGGTGAGCCCCATAATGTACATACCACAGCAGTGTGCTTTCACTAATACAGTCCTTCCAGCCTCAGCTTTTGCAAAGAGTCAACAGGTCCTAAGGAATGTGAACAGCTAAGAAATAAGAAGCTGAGGGAAGGGAGAGGAAGAAGAGGCCCTCACACAGTCATAGGACATCTGGAGCCAAGATTTTTATTTGTGATCAGCTATGCTCACAATAGGTATGAAAGCATGGACAAGCTGTTGACAAATCCATCTGGACTGAAAGACCATGGGTTCAACTTCAAAATGCGACCAAATGCAGTAAACACCACGTGCTCATACTCCAGTTTGTGTACAGACATTCATGCCGTTTCACTCAAAGAAAAGCAGTAGAGCTACCATTCAGAAGAGGATCCTTGTGTCTTACAGTTGACTTACGCACCCCAGTCTTGCTCCTATTTTGGTTAAGCTCCTTTTTGCTATTGGTGCTTTGCTGCCTCTGCAACACGTGGATGCCCTTCTGGCTTTGAAGGGCTGACTGATAGGCACCAAGCAATGGAAGACAGATGACCACAGGGATGGCTGCTCCCAGCTACTCTTTCACTGGAGGCTGTTAATGGTAGCAAGAGCCAAACCATTAAAGAAGAAGTTTTTCAACAGTTGGGCCACCACACTAAGTTGGTCTCAGTGATGGAGAGTAACAACTTGCTACTGCCTTAGCAGGCGGGAGGGCACAACAGTCCTACTGGGCCACTCACTGACCACTGTAACTCCTGTTTTTGCCTGCAGCCTCCCCTTTATCAGTCAGAGGCCTCCAGGCCCTGTTTGCATGCAAATTTGAATTCACATCTGCTTTTGCTCCCTACTTCCCCAGCTATAGCGTCAGCATTAAGGTGCACACCAAGCTTTTCGTGGCTAACCAGAACAAAGCCTCAGACCTGGTAGTCATATTCCAGTTTTAGCTGGGGAGGAAAAACAACTAACAACTTGTAATAAAGGTTAATTGCTTAAGAACGGGATAAACAGATGTACAAAGCAGCATGCTGCACAAAGCCATCATAGGATAAGAGCTGTCAGAGCAACATATCAACTACTGTCTACTGTTGGAAGCATGTCAAAAAAAAAAAATCTAGGCTAATGGTAGTTTATGTGCCTCTGAAAAAATTCAACATACTTGTAAGTCTCTTCTACCTCAAAAGTAAGCAACAAAAAAATCTAGAAGTAAAGGCTCTGTCATAATATTTCCTCCAAGCCCAAATACAGTAAGAACAGTTCTCCCATACACTTCCCTAGGTGTCTTGACAGTCTGCAATTTCACAGTAGGTGACATAGAGGGAAAGAAACAGTGCCATTGAGCTAACTTCTGAGGATGGATCCATAGCTTTCTGAGAAGTAAAAATTTGCTTTCAAATCACAAAACTCCTTAAGTAAATATATAAATTTGCATTGGAGGGATTTTCCTTAAATCTGCCTTCACTGCATCAAACAGTAAAATTCTCATTGACAGAAACAAAGTCAGACCATTACCAAGTACTTTATAAATAAATTCACAAAGAAGACTGACTTTTGTCACTTCAGTGTTTTAAAGAGAATAAATTATAAGGCTTGTTCGGGATGAATTTCATCCACTTGACTTTTGTCAAATGCCTGTTTGCAAATTTTACGTAACCTCTTAAGATAATTCTCCGTCCCACTCAAGGGAGCCAACGGTCTTAAAAGATCAAAGAGCAAAAAAGAAGAAAAAGAAACCTCAACAGCTTTTCTGAGCAAATCCACAGTAAGATAAACAGGAATAAATATAACATTCGGATAGAAAATTTAACTTACAAAGTTTCACATACAGGTGAGCAACAAGGGCAAAAATACACATGTTCACGTAATTGCCATTGTTTAACACAAATATATTGTAACTGAGTTGGCAGGACAAGTCCAACTGTTAGTGGCTAAATATACAACACAGAACTTACTTAGCTGCCTTATCTGCAGTTTCCACAAGGATCAAAACCAGTAGCTTCCATTTAAACATCATTAAAAAGAATCCTTCCATTCAGACCTGAGATACATTTTCATACGTTCTCAGGAAACAATGCCCTGATATCCTAAAACTTCAGCTTATATGACTGTTGATTTTATCCCCAGGAACATTTTATCTCCAGGAACATTTTAATATTCATTCAACAGATAACGAACACATTGAAGGAAGCCAAGGTTTAACAATCAAACATTATAAATACTTTCTGAACCAATTGTGTCTGTCCACATACTAAGTTTTTCTACAGGGACCAAAATTACTATCAATAAACGTTTTCAAAAAAATAATTGCATGAAAATTTACACAGGACTGGAATATCTATCTTAAGTCACTAATATGAAGCCTGTGTGATACTGCAGGCAACAGTATCACACAAAATATCCCAAAAATGTTTCAGCTGCAATGGAGAAGTGGCCAGATTTTCTGTTACCAGTGTCTCTACTGCAAGTCCATTCCTACATTTCTTTCTTGAAAAAACACCTTTTATGTTTTACTTTCCATGTATTCATAGTCAGTTTATACCCATTTTTTCTTAAGCCAACATTACCCTATGGATTACACAGCTCTAGTACCCTAACACCTAATTACTTTCTCAGTATACGATAAAGCGAGGAATTATGGACCCCCTCAAACTTGATTTTACTAGCTAAGCACAAAGTTCTTCTGTTCTTATGAAAATGGTGCTCCATTTCTTCTTGTTCAGCCTGTCATTCTTTGCCCACCATGTGCTATGCTGAACCACGGAAATCCATTCTCCCAGTGAATATGACTAAGCATAACACCAAAGGTGGACTGCTGCTGTCTCTCCTCTAGTGGCTTTAGAACATTTCTATTTCTAATGGAAGTTCTTTGCCTTATCATGCTGGTTGGAAGACACTCTGTAGTTTCATGTCAGCGTAATTAAGTGTTAAAAGGGCTTTCAGTTATCTTTCTCTACATTTCATAAAAATACTCTTGAGTACTTGTCTCTATGTGGGATTAAAAAAAAATTAAAACAATGCAAAATGTCTATCTATCATATTGCAGATTAATTCTCAAACTCAAACCTGTTGGGAACAAATATATACACCCCAGTTTCAAATTAAGTCCTCACTGTTGAATGTGTCTAACTCAGAGCAACAAAGACCAGACTATCAATGTTTGCTGTTACCTGTGCCCTCTTAAGAGTGTAGAGCATCTCATCAGTTCCTACAGATTGCAAATCAGAACAAGAGTTGCTATCATTTTATAAAAGGTAAAATAATTATTTGGGAGAACAGACAAATACAAAGGAAGAAAAAGGAAGAACAACTTGTGGTAGTTTGGGCTAGGCCTTCCTTGGTGACCAGTTTGTAACCAAGGAAGGGTCCAGATGTACCCAGTATTCCCTACGATTTTTACGTAAGCCAGATTATAAGAAGAAAGGAGGAGAGGCCTTCGCTCTCTTTCCTTCCGGCGGCTTGGAGGTGCAGGTTCCCTGCTGTCGGGTCTGCCGTGTTGGGGAGCGAGGCCTGGTTAGGCCTTGTCGACCTTGGGAGGTGGAGGTTGCCGGCGATCGTTCCAGAGCGACTCTCGGTTGTCCCAAGGAGAGTAGTGAGATATTTCTTTGCTAACTCTTTTAGTTGTTAGATATTGGGCTACTAATCAGGATATATATATATATTTTATTTTTTGGTTTTGTTCCTTTTCCCTTCCCCCTTCCCGTTCCCTTGTGAAATTGTATATATATATTTCAATTGTATATACCTGTAACATAAGTGTAAATATATTTATATATATCACTTTAGCTGTCTCTCTCATTTCGGGTTTTCTTAGTTGTTTTTTCTCCCTCTTCTTCTCCCTGAGGTTTGGGGGTGGGGGGGACTTCTTGTGGTAAGGTTTGGAGGGAGCCAGCTTCAAACCATATCAAAGGACCAAAAAAGAAGAAAA